AGGTAAAGTTTGTAAGTCTGGATGTAGGTGGAAATCGCTTTAACTACTGATCCGATTTTGAAAATTCTGCCACTAATAAGAAGCTGAATTACCACTAAAATTGTTTTTTTTTATTTCGCAAAAAAAAAGTTTATTTTCAGAATCATAGTTACTTTAATTAAACTCGAAAAAACTAGCCGCTAAGATGCAATAAATAAGGGAATAAAATGTAGGTATTAAAAAAGACCTAAGAACGTAGATATTATTAGGTTTCGTCATTTCGTGTTTTTGTAATACCTGCATAAAGGTACCTAGGTACTTAATTCTAATTATCTTCTAATAAAATAAGTCGAGTGTATGTGGGTACTAATTGTATTCAGCCCTTTTTAGCGTCCCACTGCTGGGCACGAGCCCTCAATGCGAGGGGATTTAGCCATAGTCCACCACGTTGGCCAAGTCTTTTGAAAACTTGCTAGGTTCTCTCACGCAGGTTTCGTCACAATGTTTTCCTTCACCGTTAAGACAAGTGGTAATCATGTTGAAAATAATTTACACATGAAAATATCAGAGGTGCCAGACCAGGGATTTGAACCCACTTCACTCGGTTTCGAAAGCGAGCGCGTTACTACTGAGCTAATTACTAAATACACATTAATTTATTAAGACAGTTTCTTTTTATTTGTATAATTTAATGTTTCTTACATGAATACATTGAATTGATGACATTAAAGCCATAGTAGGTAGCACATGGGTAAGAGTGGCTAATGATAGAGAGAAATGGAGACAGTTGGAGGAGGCCTTTGCCAATTCGTGGAATACAGACAGCTTTGTCGATGCATAGTTCAGTGTAGTGTTATAGGTATTATTATAACTTCTAATTCAGTGTGAAAACAAAAAGTGTAACCAATATTAAAGTGCAATCCTGTAAATGAAATAATGTCTGAATAAAGGCTATTATTATTATTGCATTAATACATAGGTATATTTTTATACAAGTGGCCTACATACAATACACATACGCACAAACTTATAATTATTAATTCGGTTAAGTACCAACTTAGGAACCTAAGTTACTAAGTTAATCAATGTCAACATGCGCATGTCCGACTTACATTATAATTATTTAAGTTTATGCTTTTCTAAGGTTATCAAAACTTAAAAAAATGTCTGGGATAGCTATATTATCCTTACATAAAATGAACGACAGTAAAAATCAAACATCCGATTTTAAAACATGACGAAAGCATGTCATAAACAAGACAACAATGCATTCAAAAAGTAATATTCGACCTAACTTTCAAACGAAAATAGACTTTATAGCACTGAGTGCATTTCCGTAAAGAAAAATCGTGTATATTTACATTTATTGTGGAGGCGATGACAGTTCTAACGACGCTATCTTCCGCCGCATTTATCTGTCAACGGCCACTCGCGCCGGATGCTGCAGACTCCTTATGACGATCCTTCGCACATCTTTCTGGACTGGGCTTGTCTATTTCTATAAAATATTTGATATATTTTTTTAAATATTAAGTTGATTAGTTTAAGCACTCAGAATCAAACGTTGTACAATACAAGATACCATTTGTAAGTTAACTATTTGTATTCAGCCTTTTTTTAACGTCCCACTACTGGGCACGAGACTCCCTTCAATACGAGGAGGATCAGGCCATAATCCACCGCGCTGGCCAATTGCGGGTTGGCGGAATTCACATGTCTTTCGAAAATTTGCTAGGTTCTCTCAGACATGCACGTTTCCTCGCGATGTTTTCCTTCTAATATGATAATCATGTTAGAAATGATTCGCACATGAAAATACCAAAAGTGCGAGACCCGGGATTTGAACCCGCTTTACTCGGTTTCCCAAGCGAGCGCGTTACCACAGGGCTACCACTGCCTAATTGTTTAGTCGAATTAAATCTTGTAGCTGATTCGAGTCCCGTTCGCAGCATATTATAAAGATACTAGTCTAAGTAAGTAGCTAGGTTTCTTTACATATGTTTATATACTTATGTTAGAAATCACAACACGCATTAGTATTAGCCAAATCACCTATCCAGAACTAAAGTAGAACTTTATCTTTTGTATCCGTTTAGTGCACGGTCTGACTTTGTAGTTTTCTTTTCATATTTAGATATAATTAATATACGGTATACTGACATCTGACAGCTAATTTAAAAAAACGTATTATTTCCATAACACATTTTGTCGTACAAGGCTCGAATTTTAAAAAACTCTCTTAGCTTTTTTAATATAGAAACACGCTAACAAAAATTAAACTATATAATAGGAGTACCACTGATCTTTTTGAAAATAAAAAAAGTTAAAGAGGTGCTGTTTGTAGGCACCTATATATACATGTTTGTAGGCATCTTTAACATGAAGCCTTTTATCCTATTAATTGGTCACCCTCACAGTCCACTTTCTGTCTAATTGTAAACAAAACTGAGACGCAGTGTTTACTGGAACTTTAGATCGTAAACCGACGATGAAAATCGGTAGTATTATTTATCTATGTTATTTCTTTATTTTAAAGGTCTTTGTACTCGAAGTTCCTATAAACAAATGGTACTTTATTTAATAACGTGAAGGCAGTACCAGAAAATCGTTTTACTGAATAACTTTCACTTTAGTTTAAATAATATTAGTTAATAGTGAAAAAATGAAGGTCAACATGAAAGAGAAAGAGCTATGGACTTGTTAAATTAATTAACATCAAATATAAAGGTAGTAGCTACATTATTTTGAGAAATAATATCGTTGAAGGTTTTATAGGTACAATTTAATTCAAAAGCTCTTATTATCAATTTTTCTCTGTAGGAACCACCAAACATAAGCTTGCATTTCGTACTTTTAAAGTCTATAAAAAAATCAAACACAAACAACCTTCAACAAAAATTGCATCAAATCATCGGCGTTACAATGATATTGGTCAAGGTGCTTATTATTTTTATCTTTGCAAATATAGTGTCATAAAGCAATCGTCGCGGTTCAGGTGAACGGCCGGCGCGCGCGTTCGCAACATGTCTCCCATATTTCCGTCATCGACGCGGCTGATGCGCACCAAAATAAGATTATTGGAAATTTGACACACGCCATTTAGGGTTACCAGTAGGAAAGAGTTTGACAATAAGTAAACTGTATTCAGCCTAGGATTATATATTTTTTGTAGTGAAAACTTCTATAGGTAGGTTTGGATGGGAGCTAAATTCATGCATGTCGTCTTCGACATGGTCACGTGACGATTTAACTGTTAACGCTAACACTCAGAGTGCCGATAAATGTCAAAACTAGATAAATGTAAACAGTTTTAATTTAAAAATAATAATTTATGATCAAACAATTAATCTGAATATCAAAAAAAAAACAACAGTTTGTTTATATTTTTAAGTTTTCACTTCTGTCGCAGTCCTTACGACTGTTTTCTATAACTTTTTTTTTACAACCTAGCTTTGTCATATGGCTTCGGGCCGAGGCAGTGACGGTGCCATACGCCCATGACTTGTAGAGCACGTAAAGCTGTTGGTACTACGACTGTACATAACGCGAGTGTCAAATTCTTAGCGCTATTAGGTAGCTATAACATTGTTGATTGCTTATTTTAGCGCTCACAACACTTTTACACTAGTGTAAATGAGATTGCTTATGTCCGAAATCCGTGCGGAGGATATAATATAGTATATGTTTTTTTTGTATGCTCACTAGGAAGAAGCTTTTATTTAATCTTTATAAGTAACTAGGTACTATACAAGCCAGTTTTAATTTATTGTATAGGTATATGTATTACATTTGATTATGTGATTTAAAAATAAAGCAACTAACTTTAATTAATATGAATAAAGTCCCGAAGTCGAGTCCCGCTGGGGGTGCTGGATTCATTTGTGTGATGAGCACAAATGTTTGTACTCCAGTCATGACTCATGAGGGTTTATATTTATATTATGTATATATTTAAAAAAATGTAGGTATATTTGTAGTGTATCAACTATCTGGTATCCATAACACAAGCCTCGTAGCTTACCATGGAACTAGATGGTGCTATGTGTTAATCCCAACATATTTATTCACTTAATATCTTAACATACTGACTGTCTATAAAACAAAGTAGATAATAGATAAACAATATCAATTAATTATATGTAAAGCACTGGACAGTCAATGTATGAAGCAACAGTCTGGTTTACCTCTCTTTATGTTTTCGCTTGTCGTGGTAGCCTTTAAGTAGTTCTACTTTACCAATTGTAAAATTAAGGGCATGTAGTTTTTACTTTTTGCACGATTTAAGTGTAGGTATGTCCTGTTGATTACCCTAAATAAATAAATAATATTACGCTCATTAATATCAATAACTAGATAACGCCACCCCTTATAGGTACATAATATACACTTGGTATGATATAGAAAAACATTAACCATATCTATAAGACAAAATATGAAAATATAAAAAATATTATTTTATAAATAAATGCATCGAGTGAATATAAGCGATAACCCTAGTATTTAACGATCCGTTCTCTACATACACTGCCCAATACTGATGACGCATTTGAGTGGCCCTCAATATTTTCGGTTTAATAGAACTATTTTTATTAGCCCTCGTCTACTATGAAAGCATATCGCTTAACTCTAAAGATAGGTATATCATTCAAGAAACAATCTATTTTAATTACCTCTACGAGTTATTGCTTGTCTTCATAGTTAAAATAAATATATTCTACTAGCCACTTACTCTCGCTTCGCTCGAGGACTTCACTGCGTGCCTTTTGTATTTATGACTCATATCATCCCTATTTTTCACCCCTAGAGTATATTATACTATCTAAAACTAGAATGGTCGTGATTTTCGATCGAACAGATTATTTCAAATTTTGGTAACGTTAAAAATAATGGGCTTTCATATAAACTTCCTACTACTCCCTTTTGACCCATTTTGGAGTAGAATTTCCAATAATCCTTTCTTAGTGAATAAATAAAAGTATTAGAAGGAGTAGTTCTTCTATGATTAGTCTAAAACCCTGGGCATGTTAAAATCATGTATAACATTACAGGTATTAGCGATAATATGTCTAAATTATCCAAATGAATAATAATTAATAATACAATATTTAAATAAGCCAAGAAAAACACTGCCTACATTAATGGTCTTGTTAGTGTTGCTCATTGCTGAAGATTCTACATCTACAAGTTAATGTGTTGGATTCACAATATGCCACTTTTTTAAATACTTAAATTGCACGATATGAAAATTCTCATATTGCATAATATATTACAAATCATTTAAGTATATCTTAATTACATCAAAAATAATACAATATTTATTTTTAATATCATAGAATATAGATAGGTAAAAGTTTAGTACAATATGTACAAGTACAAGCAAACGTTGTATTTAATTTATTAATTATTGAAATTTCGATTATGAAACGCGCCATCTCTTGACATGTTTTAGCTAAAAAAAATAACACTAGATGACTCTACCACTTACTACTCTACCTATCACTTTATGATAACTTTTTTACAATTTTAGTAAATATATATTATAAAATGTAAAAAATTATATTGAATTAAACATAATTAAAAAAGAAACGTTCTTGATTTTATTAATAAAAATAAATATTTATTCTTACAAATTATGATATATCATGAAAGTTGAAACACATTTTTATTTAACTTTTTGTTTTTAGTATGGCAACAAAAGTTGTTTTCGCGAGAACCTTGTGAGCATCATGAAAATTATTTTGATTGCAAAATTGTCATAGAATTAGTTATGAGAAGTTTATAAGTGTTTTATTGTATTAGTGTTATGTTTGTTGTGTATAGATATTTGCCATACAAGTGGAGCTCATAAAGAAATTGCTCGCCATGGCCGGCCCGTCCGACGGCGACCCCGACGGATGGGTCGAGTTCTGCGAGCGTCAGGCTAAAACCGCCGCTCAGGACTTTGCCAAGGCTTGCTTACAATATTTACAGACCAGCGCTAGTGAAGCCGCCGCCCGACCTATTTCACAAAAAGAATTTTTAAAGAAATTCGTGGAATGTTTCTCAGAACAATTCGATTTTGAATTCGGCAAACTCAAGGCACAACATAAATTACCCAATGGCACACACACTGGCCACGATGAAAGCGATTATTCTGAAGACACGGATTCCCCAAAAACGCAACATAAACCCTTTTTTCGTAGATTATCTTTTAAAGGCTTGCGTCGTGGAAAGGGTTTATTTCACAAACAACATTCTGATGAGGTAGAATTGTCGTCTAATATGAATAAACACAAAACAAAATTAGCTAAGATAGTAGTTGAATGTCGAAAAGATGGACTTGTAAATTATTTGACTCCAGAAAGTCTGGAACAACCTAGTGGTCCACAGAAATGGGAAAAATGTAGATTAGCATTAGTTAAAACTGTTGGTGGTTATATGTTAGAATTTTATTCACCACCTAAGGCACAAAAACCTAGAAGTGGTGTATTCTGTTTCCTTATATCAGAAGCAAGAGAAACTACTGCTTTGGAAATGCCGGACCATGAGAACACATTTGTTTTAAAAGTGAGTAATTATAGAGTATAAAATTTAATTTACCTTCCTTGTTTGCTTATAGTTTTTAGTTTCATTATATTTATAGCTAAAACTTACCTGTGTGATGAGTAATTATTAAAACAATACTTATAATTTCAGTTAAAGAAATATAAATATTTTATAATAATTTATAAATTAAATGTAGGTTATAATATGAATTAAATAAAAGAAATATTATTTTGAACTTACTAAACAAACTTAAAACATAAAATAAATATAATATATATTATATAACCAAAATAATAAATATCTAACATACACATTTCAGGCAGATAATAATATGGAATATGTAATAGAGGCGGCTGATGTTGATGATATGAAATCATGGCTGGCCACCATCAAGTATTGTATGAGATCGGCACCCACCACACAGCCCCCACCTGAGGCATTAGCAGGACTGCCAGAACCAGCGCCGCCCGATCTGCCTCCTAGAAGAGATTTGCCTTCTAGTGCAAGTAATACCGATCTAGCAACTGATACACCTGAGGAAGCTGAATTAGGTAATTTGTTTTTTCTAGTAGGCATTTGTTAGAGAAATTATATATTTCTAATAATTTTAAATTTGATTTAATTTAAACAAGTTTAGCAAATGTCAAATTATACTCTTTAATCTATTTTGTTTCTGTAGCTATTAACACCTCGTGGTTATTTTCTAAGAAATTTATTGTTAACCGAGCCACCTGTGGCTCGGTAGTTGTTGACAGGTTAATATATTATTTTACTTAAGTATTTTAGTTCATCATCATCATTTTAATTCTTACATGTTACTTTTAGTAACGCTGTTATGACTCTATCTGAAGGGTTTGTTTGTAAATGTGCTTATTTTGGAACAACCTACATTTTTGTTTTGGATATCTTATCTATATTCATAATGAAACTATCTAGAAATTTAACATTGCTGTAATATTGTCAAAGGCATATAATACACAAAGTGGTGCAAATATTTTAGAAACAAGCAACTAATGTTGCAATTTGATTTTTAATAAAAAACATTATCAGTGTCAGCCCACACTATATTCATGTGGATATATAAAATGTTAGTCGAACTTTATTGATTTGTTGTCTTAAGCTGGCTTTTTACCATACATGATTTTATGTTCCTAAGAAAATTCCAAAAATGAATAATATTTTGTGGACGAAATTGACAATGCTATTCTAATAATACCCAAGATGACTGTTCTGTATGGATTACTATAATGTGATAAATGCAGTGGTAGTCCAGTGGTAACGCGTTCGCTTGGGAAACCGTGTGAAACGGGTTCAAATCCCGGGTCTCACACCTCTGATATTCTCATATGCGTATCATTTCCAACATGATCACCACTTGTCTTATAGTGAGGGAAAATATCGTGAGAAAACCGTCAGGCCACACTCGGCCAGCGTGGTGCACTATGGCCTGATCCTCCTTGTATTGAAGGGGGAGGCTTGTGTCTAGCAGTGACAGGTTAACAAAGGCTGAATATATCCAACAGGCTCAATAGCAGAAGAGGTGTGTGAGCCGCGGCTTTCGCTCACCGAGTGGCCGTGGTTCCACGGCACGCTGGCACGCGCGGCGGCCGCGGCCTGCGTGCTGGACGGCGGCGCGGCGGCGCACGGCTGCTACCTCGTCCGTCAGAGCGAGACGCGACGCGGCGAGTACGTGTTGACGTTTAACTTTCAGGTATACGGAAGTTTTTTTTTAATGTGAATCATCTGATCAGGACTGCCAGATAACAGTCGTTCATTTACCTAACCATTAAACCTCAAAATACCCGGTTTATCCCGCCGGCGCCATCCATGAGCAGAATACCTGAAAATAGTTGTTTTTTTTAGTAATTTATTCATGTTTTATATAGAACATAAAAATAGGCTGATTCCTCATACAAACTTTCGTCCCCATTTTCACCCGCTTAAGGCATAATTTCCAGGAATTTTTTTTTGAATGTCCTTCCCCGGGTCTCAAACTATCTTCTTACCAAATTTCATCTAAATCGGTTCAGTAGATCCAGAGATTACTCACTACGACGTCACAAACTCACAATTCACAAACTTTACCTCTTTATAGTATTAGTATAGATAAAAGAAAGTACTAATGTTAGAAAAAGAAGTCATTGTAATCAGTTTTCAATTAAACAGCTTTAAATTATTAAATCAAATATAAAAAAAAACTTAAAATATCTTAAACTTACATCATACAGTAAAATATCTTTACTTGATTAATTAATCAGCTAAACTAATATACCTTTAAGAAAGTAATATACCTTTTTTTTTTTTTTTTAACGTTGGGAAATGCATTTACGCACGAAGTGTGGGACTCACCGGCGAATCCAGTACTACCCACTAAAACCCAACAAAACCTTCCCCCGTCTTAATGGGGCGTCGCAGGATCGCTTACGCATTCAACTACGACGCCCCGACGGCAGGTCTGCCGAAGCAGACCACAACAACCACGGGGTTGCTCCACGGTCCACTCTGCTATCAGAGAAGTACCAGGAGCAACCCGCATGGCACACCGCCCTCCAAAGAAGGCCGCCTCCCACCGCCCACCGAAGCGGGCCACCTCCCTGTGCGTTTCTTGGCTTCGCGAGTACACTACTGAGCCCCCCCACCACGACAAGGTGAACGCACGTTGGGGGGGAAACCTGCTTTCTACTAAAATACCCGTCAAAATTTCCCGCCATCAAAAATCGTCTAAAATTACCCCCTTTTCGGGTAATTTACCCGCCAATGACAGCGCTGCATCTGATCATCAGATGCAGCGCTGTCATCAGATTCTGATGCGGCGGGTTAACTTAAAACTAGCAGTTGGCGTGGAGACGCGTCCCCACGCGCTCGTAAGGTCCTGTCCGCACTGCGATATTTGACCGTGCGATTTTTATTCTCACGTATTATATTCCGTGCTCAGAATTATACTTATGGCTCACTGCGAATAAAATTTCATACGATTTTTGTCAGTTCGATGTAGTTTCCGGCTGAGACGAACGCCTTAAAATGAATAACAGAAAAAAAATTATTTAGCTGATACTTCATACTACGACGGCGGTGGCGTGACAGAGATATCAAAAGATATCATGAACATCACAGATTTTTTTCCCGCGTGAATTTTAACCGCAAGTGCGGATACTCCTCTATAAGATTCACAGTCATTCAATGTGTTATAGAATTGCGAGAAAAGAAACTTGCGGTGAAATATCGCAATGCAGATGAGACGTAACTCCCAGATTCTCTTTCCACTTGGCTGGGCGATTCCCTCCCCTCTATCTGCATGTTTCTCCCCCTCCGCATACCTAACTCCCTCCCTCCCCTCCCTCTCTCTCTGTCCTGCGTTGAGCTCATATGGTTTTTTTTAATTTTGGTATTAACTTAAGGTTTTTTCTTTTACAAAAAATGTGTATATTTTGATTTTAACTATGTCACATTTATTGCCTTTATAAACCGTCCATCCTAAAGTTTCATAGATAAACACAATATTTTTATAATTTTAAAATCTATACTAATATTATAAAGAGGCAGTTTGTTTGTTTTGTTTGAACGCGCTAATCTCAGAAACTACTAATCCGATCTGAAAACTTCTTTTTGCATTAGACAGCCCGTTTATTGAGAATAGTTAGGCTATATATCATCATTCTACTACACAAGGGAGCAGAGCAGTAAATTTGGTATGGTCAAAGCTGGTTATCCTAAGTTACCGCAAGAAAATATCTCATTTCTGAGACAAAATACAAAAAATGCTTAGAATAAAACCACGATGATACTATATACATTTTAGCAAGGTAACTTACTAAATATGGCAATAACTATTAAAAATAGTTTATCTTGAAAAAATATATATCAATAGCACTATTTTATTCATTAAAAAAGTTTTTTTAATTAATATTTATTTTTGTGTTACTTAGCTATAATTCCAAAAAATTGAATGTACAAATTAGACCTTTCTATGATTTTATTAGAATTACTACTACATTACCCACCGCCCCGCCCATGTCCAAATTATCAATAAACAATCTTTTTGGCTTTATAAATTAGTTACATCTATAGATATATTAAAATTATAACTAACCTGTATCTGTACATTAAATATTTTTTTGGAAAATCTTATTGAAATATACATTATTATCGATACAGAGGCCGAACCTATAGTTTTTAGAATTTTTGTCTGTCTGTCTGTAACCGAATCACAGAAATACCACTGGAGGGATTTTGAAGAAATTTGATATGGTAATAGCTGGTTATCTGGCTCAACATATAGGGGAAATCACTGCCATTACTTAACAACCATGCGATGCGTAATGAAATTATTATATGTATGTAAGAGTATACTAATATGAAAAGCCTAAGAATTTGGTTTTTGGGCATCTGAACGCGGGCGGAGCCGCGGGCAATGCTGGAATAATATATAATCTGTCTATTCCATACCAACAAGGATGAACCCGAGCGAAGCGACGGTGAGCCGATGGTATAAACTAAAATGAAACATTAATAAGCCTAAAATGTTACAGGGTCGAGCAAAGCACCTCCGCATGACACTGAGCGACACAGGCCAGTGTCGCGTCCAACACCTGTGGTTCCCGAACGTTCACGACATGTTGGAACATTTCCGCGCCAACCCCATACCGCTGGAGTCGGGCGGCGCGGCCGATGTCACGCTCACAGAGTACGTCGTCTGCCAGGACAGCCATAGACAACAAGTGAGCGCCACGGTTGATTAGTAGTGAATGGGCAGTTTTATTTTTCCTCTTGTTTCATGCGTTGACATTTGTAGACTGTATGTGATGTTACTTTTGCGTACTTTTATGGTTGACATTAAAAATTGCTTATTTTATGTCAGTTAGAGATTCGAATTAAAATAAAATATTATTAGAACGATTTTAATTCATTCATCCAGGATGTTTTAAAAATTGCTTTTGATTTGATGTAGATAAATTATTCTGTCACGTTATAAAAAAAACAAATGAGCTATTTATAATACCAAATAAATTATATTGTGTTCACATAAAATATTTTTAATCTGGTCTCAATACTTGCTGTATAATAAATTACAAAATACAAAACATAAAAGCAATGTTATATGAAACTGCGTATTCACATTATGCTACTCATAATATAATTTATGAATGAAAATTTAGCTCGTAATATTTATTTCATTAATATCCACATTTGGCTCTAATTTTTCGATTTTGTTTATTTCACTTCTTAAGAGCTGAGAGAAAAAATTATTACTTTTTATAAAAAATGTAGAAAAATAATTTTCTGTATATTTTTTGCATTTGTAGTTTTAAACAATATGAGTTAGTTGTAAGACTGCGTGGTTATAAATTTTATATTTCTGAAGAGGCTTATATCCCACCGAGTCTTACTTAGTGTTATAAAACTTCATGATTTATAATTATAATTCAAAACTATTTGCAATTAGTTCTTTTTATCATAATATCTGTCAGATTATGTCATTTATATTATTTTCCCAGATTAGCAATATTTTTTATTATGAATTTTATTTTATCATTAACTGTATACTATTCAAATAATTTTTTTAATTAAAATTTGGATTTAAGACGCTCTTAGAGCGCTAGTTTAGTAAAGTCATTTTAACTTTGCTCAAATTTTCAATTTTCTATTTAACTATGAAAAAATTTGTACATAGTAATGTCATAAACTGACTAAACATAATAAAAAAATGTTTCTTGTTGTTTTACAAATTCAATTTGCTTATACCAAATAATATTAGGTACCTTAAACAGGCACGGAGAATATATAACTTGTGCCATTTTAAAATAAAATCAGGTTTATTTTTTATTAGCGATTTACCCTCGTTTCGCTCGGGTGCGTCCCTACGTACGTACGTATACGTACGTTTTGATTTTTTTAAGTGGGACCCTAATTCTTTTTCTAAAATAAAAGTAGACTAAGTTATTCCTCATTACATCAGCTATCTGCCAGTCCCGTCCCGTCAAAATCAATCCAGCCGTTTCGGAAATTAGGCGGAACAAACAGACAGACAGACAGACAAAGTTTTACAAATTGTTTTTTTCTTTTCTTATACCTTAAATAATTTTATATGCATTTAGTAAAGAGTTGTTATTTTGACATTACAAACAGACCTTCAATTTTATTTATCTGTATAGATAATATAATATTTTTGACTACAACTAAATCTGACGCTATTATTAAACAAGTGCTATAAGAATTTGACCACCAATGATGGTGTTATTTATGGTCATCAATGATTTTTTTTTAATTTACGATTTAACATCCTATCTTATTTGAAGAATTTAAACCTATTTATGTATATTATGTTAATTATAATGGGTGCTTACTATAATTCAAATTTGGAAATCCCCTTAAAATGTTTAATATTTTACCATTAGTGTTGATGAAATAAGTGAAAACTTTCTAGATCTTTCTATTTTTGTCTCGCTCATTATTCACTATTGTAATTAACTTGGCTTAAATGACATTTTTGTGTATAAATATTAGCTTATTAGTATTTTTTTGTTTGTATATAGTATCTTTTGCTCATTTTTGTGTTTAATTGAATAAGTTTAATTTTTTTATACTAAAATTGTTTTGTTGTTATTGTTGTTGGAATAATGACAGTTTTTAATAAAAATAACAAGTGTTCTAAAAAATGTGGTTCAAAATAATTATATGCTATTTATTGTGGCCTAAGGCAGTCTTTTGTGTCAATATATACAATACTAGCACAATCCGCGGCTTCGCTCGCACTAAAACTACAAAAACACTCTAGATAGGTAGGTTTCATACATACTTTCATCCTCTATTTTACCCCCATTGTAATATTTTGGATATAGTCTGTGAGGATTTATATTTCATCATTACACAGATTAAAAAAGTTACAACTTTAGTTAACGAAATTACGAATTTCCATTGCATTCTAATTTTAAAAATTTCCGAAAAAAAATATGATGGTAACAAAAGTCATTTTTTCGATTTAAAATATGATTTTTTTAAAAGACGGGTTTTAATAATACTTTCTTAGATTTACGCGAATGTTTGACATTTTTAAATAAAACTATCTTTTCGGATTATTTCGCGGATTTATTTTGATTTTTGGTTCCCGACGTTTCGAATGCTTTACAGCATCCATGGTCACGGGAGAGACTGAGGTGTTACATGTCTTAAAGATATAGTTGTTACAGACAGCCTACCCACAATTAACAAAATGAAAATTGCACCAATTACATTACAATATTTTTAACTTTAAACATTTTTTATAATTTTAATTATAATTGAATATGGAAAATTATTTATTTAATTTTTGCTATTATTTTTTTTTTTTTTTTTTTTTTTAAATTATTACAATTTTAAAAATATTAATTAGTAATCTATATTTAGTGTTGCCATTATTATATTTATAACCATAAATAAAAATATAAAAATATAGTATTAATTATTAAAGCCATATAATTGTTCTATGTGTAATTTAAAAAAGTTAAAATTAATTACGGATAATCATTTTAATTTAGTTTGCTATTATTTACAAACAACTTACTAAGCAACACTATTAATATATACTTTTACAAATGAAAAAATATTAATCTGATAAGCTGTCATTTTGATCTACACAGTATGAACTTACTACATCTGCCTGTCTGTTATGTTTATATTTATTATTTGATTTTATTATATTAATAACAGGATCCCATGACGATGGTAGTACCCAGCCATCTTCCCTATTGAAATTTGGATGTTTTTTAATTTCTATGGCTTCTCGAATATAATGGCAAGCCATTATATTCGTTTCGATAGACCTCAAATCCTGGCGAAAGAAAACCGATATCGCCCTAGAATGATTCGAGAAGCCATAGAAATTAAAAAACATCCAAATTTCAATAGGGAAGATGGCTGGGTACTACCATCGTCATGGGATCCTGTTATTAATATAATAAAATCAAATAATAAATATAAACATAACAGACAGGCAGATGTAGTAAGTTCATACTGTGTAGATCAAAATGACAGCTTATCAGATTAATATTTTTTCATTTGTAAAAGTATATATTAATAGTGTTGCTTAGTAAGTTGTTTGTAAATAATAGCAAACTAAATTAAAATGATTATCCGTAATTAATTTTAACTTTTTTAAATTACACATAGAACAATTATATGGCTTTAATAATTAATACTATATTTTTATATTTTTATTTATGGTTATAAATATAATAATGGCAACACTAAATATAGATTACTAATTAATATTTTTAAAATTGTAATAATTTAAAAAAAAAAAAAAAAAAAAAAAAAAAATAATAGCAAAAATTAAATAAATAATTTTCCATATTCAATTATAATTAAAATTATAAAAAATGTTTAAAGTTAAAAATATTGTAATGTAATTGGTGCAATTTTCATTTTGTTAATTGTGGGTAGGCTGTCTGTAACAACTATATCTTTAAGACATGTAACACCTCAGTCTCTCCCGTGACCATGGATGCTGTAAAGCATTCGAAACGTCGGGAACCAAAAATCAAAATAAATCCGCGAAATAATCCGAAAAGATAGTTTTATTTAAAAACGGGTTTTAATGTTGTATTTAATTATTACAGGCGCTCCTAATATTTGCATTAATTTAGAGTCTTTTTAGAGGCTGAACTTGACTTAATATATGTTTTTAACAACAGTGTGTGCTCAATTTTGATACTAAATCATGAACAATAACAAAAATACTAGGTTTTCTATTCAAACTATTGATTCTTATGTGCATTTTATTTATTGATAGTTTTATTAAATTTTAGTCATAGTCCAAGAGACCACTGTTCGAAAACTTATAAATTCATAATTACTGTGCTACACACTTACATATATAGGAATTGCCTATAATTTAACTGTAGAAAACAATAAATACGACATTTGAATACATTTAAATCTATATAATTCTTTTTGAAGTGAAACTTCTTACAGCGCATAAGAGTAAAATTTCAAGACCGCGTCATGAGAAATCGTCACGAAAAACTGTTGCCATAGTAACTGTTGTTATCTGACAAATGATATATTTATATGATATTCTTTTCGTTGATATCTTCAAAGATTTCTATTTATACTAATTTGTTTTAAATTTATGCAAAATTATTTATAACTAGCGGCTCACCCTTGCTTCACTCGGGTTGGTACCTAGGTGCGTTTTAACGGTTAGTATGGAATAGATAGAGATGTACATAATATAAAAAGATAAAAACTTTTGGCACCGACTTCGAAAATATCTGATTAGGTATCTATTTTAAATGAAAACCTCCGCTTAGTTATTTTTTACATTTTAGTGCCTGAAAGTCGTTTTTTTTTTTTTTAAGTTTTTATTTTTCCATTTTTAGTGTAGACGTAATGAGCAGGTAATTTGTAAGAAGAAAGTTTTTTAATAACATATTCGGTTAAACAAATTATTTAAAAAATATATTTGTTGTTGATTTATTAAAAAACCGCTCGACCGATTTTGATAAAATTTACATTGGACCGACCACCTGGGAAGTATACCTTTTGAAGCAAAAAAAATTTCAAATCGCTTCAGGCGTCTTCGAGTAATTGGTGAAAAAAAGATTCCGACGAATTGAGAACCTCCTCCTTTTTGGAAGTCGGCTAATGAAGTTTCACTTCTTACACGTATACTCTGTACACACTACTTAATTTTTTATGTAAATTTATGAATATCTATTTAATTTTTTATGTAAATTTATGAAATAATATTATATTAAGTGTAAGATTATGTAGTGTTTTTGAATCCCAGTTCAGAATTGCCAGTTATAAGCTTTACATGAAATAGTTCACAAAATATAATTTTAATATTATTTTAATTAATTTGGACTGTTATTATGATTTAACTAACTTGTAGCATATAATTATGTCGACACATGCAAAGAACAATATTATAACTCTGTATAAGATAATTTAATAAGTCTTATTATTCTAATTTGCTACAATGTTGAGTTACAATATTATTCCTTGTTGGTGTATATGTTAACAATGTTGTAAATATTTTGTACAAAATGAACTAATGTTCTTTTAAAGCTTTAATCATATTTTCTTGGTTGTAAAATTATTATTAAATCTTATTTTGCTGAATGGCTTCGTTTTTTATTTTGCTTTTTTTCTTTAGTTGGCTGTTTGATGTTTGTTGTGTGCGTGCATAGTTTCCTGGTAAGTTCATATTAACTTACTTTTTTTCTTTTTTTTTCGTTTTAATCTATAGTCTGTTTTTTATTCTATCTTCTGTATTTAATGTCGAAGGCACGGTGTTCTAGTCTACATCTAATAATACAAAAGTATCTATTTTATGGTTATATATTTTGTCAAAGATTTTGAATTTTTCTTTTTAAACATATGTCATAATGATTATTAAAATAACAACAACAGTAAACAGTGGGTTCGAGGCCCTTTAAAAACTAAATATTTGTGACTTACATCCTTGATTTAGTAAATTTTCTTAAATAAATAAGCCATTTAAAGAATTTCTTCAATACTATAATAAATGTTCACAAATAAAATTTTAAAAGCACATTACAAATATTATCAAAGAGTTTTGCTATTTAAAAATATATTTTGTCTATGATTATTTTTTATCCAATAGCACAAATATTTTCCAGTTGGGTGTATCTCTCGGTAGTGACGTGAGGATGCGTCGCGCAGAGCTAGAGGCTTTACTGTTAGCGAGCGGCGCGCATCACGACATACGCGCCGTCGACAACCAATATGTATTGTGTAATATGCGACCTTCTACCATAGAGCGGGCTTGAAAGAATAATTGTTGTTTTAGCTGACATAAAACGAGATATACTTAGGTATTAATTACTTAGATTTACGCGGATATACGACATTTTAAATAAACCTTTTTTTCCGGAACGCTTTACACCTGTTATGTTTCGTCTGTGACCATAATTGCTCAATACTCAATTGCTCCTGTAAAAGAAACGAAACGTCAGGAACTATAAAAACGGTAAACGTCAGGAAAAATAAAAATAAATTCGCGAAAAAAAATTAAACATAGTTTTATTTAAAATGTATTATCTGTTTTTTTTATATTATACATGTGAAAGTTAATATTATTTATTTGGTTATTTTTTAATTTACTTATTGATGTATTTTTGACAGCTCATGGGTCTTCAGTATAAGTTTTAAAAGTATTCAACCATTATTTTTTTCCGAATATAATTAGATACTAAAACGGAAAAAAGTAATTCGTACCTATACTCAATATGTTACTCGCTCACCAATAATCTTTACTAAAAGCCAATGTGCAGTAAACTTAAAGCTCATATTTTAAGCAATTTGTAACATTTATGAATTGAGCAGGAGTGTTCAACGTCATTGGGTTTTGGTTTCACGATATTGCTTTTATATTTTTTTTGCTTATACATATATTGTTCTTTTTTGTTTTATAATAATTATTTTTTAATATATATTACAATTAATTGTTTTTAAATTATACTTATTAAGATAATAAGTATATTGATCGAGAAGGTATACAAAAGGTATATAATAAGCATTGTAGTATTGCTTTATCATAATACAAATAATTATAAGTATTCACATATTTTGTACTATTTCTACTAAAACATTAAACGCCAAAACAACGACTTCCGCTGTCCGAAACTTTGCAAAATGGGAAAATATATATAAAATTCGTAAAATGTAGCAAAATTAATGAACGTTATATGTTAGTAATAACAATTTTTGTGCTATATTTAATATCATTAAAGTTAGTATAATTTGTAAAAAGTAGCTAATTTAGGCAATGGATATGATTTTTTGTGCAATATGTCAACTGTATAAAAAAAACAGTTCGATCATCGATACTATTAAAATGTACCTATACCTAATTTTTTTTGCACGTAATCTTTTAAATAAAATCTTACGTATACTAATAACAATATTATAAATTAATAATACATGAATCTGATCTGATAAGAACAGAATCCAAAAAAACATAAAAAATATCAATTCTCGTATTTTTAACTGTAGAAAATAGGGGATGATCGATTTTTCACCTACAGATTTTTTTTAAATACATTCTTATTTTGCGTGTGTTTATCGACAACACTAAAAATGGAAAAATAAAAACATATCTGATTAGGTATCTATAGTAAATGAAAACTAACAATCTATTAGTTTTTACTTTCTAGTGGTTTTTTGAAGTCAGGTTTTATGAGATTTTTTTTATTTAAATGTCCAATTAAATTGTAATATCAGAAGTACATGTCGTTTTATCTTACATTACAAAGTATCGTTGGTTAAACAGTGTGATTATTAAATTGCTTGCAATTTAAGTTGTTGTTAAGTGCAGGCTTAGCCGCTTATAATTATTGTCTAGTTTTAAGCATTAGCTTATTTAATGTTAGCATAAATGACTGTTTTAAGCCAAGAAAGTAAAGGAATAAGGAAATATGTATTCATCGACTTAGTGTGAAGTTATAGAAACGTCTAGTAATTATTTTATTAGAACTTAACAATTTCCAAAACCAGTTTTTTTTTTCTATTTGCATCGCTTATGAGGATTACAGAAAATTATTGGCTTTGTAAACTAATCATGGATTATATAAAAATGTCGAAATAGTAATTAATATACAAAATTGTGTAGAATAAAATTGTAATATGTGATTGTTATTTATCCAAAAGTTTAAAATATCGAAGTGTTGTCCCGCGTGCCAGAGCATAATATGCGTAGTACATTGATTAAAAAAAAACATTACGTATTTAAATTAGGAACACGCTAAGTCAATCTAGTCATGGTATAGATAAATAATATTTATTTTAATTTTTTGTGTAATTATAGTGTTATTTGTATTATAACAATTATATTTATATATTTTTTCTTAATTGTCACTTTGTAGTTTTCGTTTGTATGCACTGATTTTTTTATTTATATTAGAAATATTAGTTATTTAGAATAATGGCGTTCTTTAAAATTATAAATGGACGCTAGCTCTTTGTCTATTCTACGTGGGTTATAGCGGAAGATTCTTTTCGATTTTTTTTCTAACTTCTAAGTAATATAATCTTATAGGAATTTTCTTGTTAAAAAAAATTTTTGCTACAAAAATCATTTAACTCTTGTGCTAAATAGTCAATACTAAATGACAACTACTGAACTGATTTTAAAGACTAATAATAGTGAACTAGTTCGATAAGCAAATAGATATCTAAACGAAACCTTTAAAAAAAGGTGATTGTAAAAAAATAGAATTAAATGTTGTTGGAATTGAATATTGATACATTAGAAATAAAGTATTGATAGCGAAGTAACTTTAAATAAATGGTATGATGAGAGTTTTAGAATTACTTTAAACTGTATAAGTTGAGTCAATATGGCAGCACCAAAAAATTCTAGATCAAACCATTTTTTTAATCTAAATACATATAATTAAAGTGTAAGTGATCGCTGTCTGTACATTGAAGATATTTAAGAAAAACTTTTATTGGGAGTCTTTATTTACGCAATATAACCCAAAACAATGTTTTTTATATTTTTTGTCTGTTTGTCTGTGCGCTTGTGTGCTGTCATCCTAGAAACGGCTTCGCCGATTTCGGTGCGGTTTTCACTAGAGTTTTATTTCAATCAGTTCATAAATAAAAAATTTATCTCAATTTAAATAAACATATAGAGACGAACCCGAGCGAAGCGAGGGTGAGTCGCTACGCTATTAATTAAAATATAGTTTTGAAAAAATGTATGTAAATTGTAAACACATATCTGTAACAAAATTATATTTAATTACTAAAAACGTATTTAAAGTCTGAAAAATTATTAAACAAAATAAATATTGACTCGACGAATACAACGTAGAACTAAACGCATCTTTGGGTACAATTTTAAACTATAACAACTAATTTAAGAACTGTTTTTACTATGATTTTTATAGCTCATGTATATATGCTATCGACTTCAAAAACTTAAAAATTTCTATAGATAATATTAATCCAAAAAACTTTTTTATGATTAATGTTGCATTTAATAAAACTAAGTTCAGTGACTAACCGAATTATACAACACATAAAACAACACAAAAACTCTTAACACCAGAATATTTCTATGGAGTATTTTTTATTCTACACAGTATCATTTATTTTAAGCAAACATCAATAAAAAATCGATATGTATAACGCCATCTATTGACGTCTATTACAACTAATTATTCTTTTTCCTAATAAGGTCCCATGCGATATGTAAATTATTTTTGGAAAGTGTACCTAAAGTACTGCGTTTAGTCATGTTACATGCCAAATAGACTTAATGCAATATAGATAAATGTTGCCTTCACAAATAACGCTGATGTTGGATTATTTTAGTCATAAATTACAGTTTTCCTTTAAAATTCAATTGATTTACTGCGCTTTTTAAATAATAATTAGATATAATATATTTTGCATGTGTTCAATAGAAATAGATTCACAACTCACATATATTATGTTAACAATGGACAAAATTATATAAGTATAATAATAGATATCTGTATGTTTGTACGACTAAAACCTGTGTACCCCACTCCAATAGTTTATTACATAAAATAAATGAATATGGTGTACTTTTTTTAAATCGGTAATAATTTTTATTATAAGTAAAAATGTTTCTTAAATATTATATAGAATTACATGCTATTCACGTGTAATACTCGTACTAGATAATAGTCTGACAGAGACAACGCTCAAATGTGACCAGCAGATTTATCTAGTCTATTATGGCTAATGTTAAACCTTGCTCTTCGAAAAAGAAATTAAAATAGGCAGTCATAGAGACTGCCGACAGAAGTGAAAACTTATTATTTTGGAATATATATATTTTTTTAATTTTAAATAATTTATAGTATGAATAATTAAAATTTCATAATTTGTAAATTTGAATTTTTATTATTAGCCTGGTTTTCATATCCATTGCCACTCCGAGCAATAATTAATTACATTTTGATATAGTTTATTTATTAATCAAAACATTGACGCTACGCGACGAAAGACTGCGTCGACACGTCACACGTTGCATGTCGGTGACGCGAACCTATAAGTTTTTCCCCTACCAAAGATCGCCCAACGCGGCTATACCTAGTCGTTTTCACTTCAAAATGCAAGTAAAACACGCCAAGACGTAAATAAAGATTACAAACGATTATACGTATATAATTTTGTTCCTACAAATAATGGTAGGATTTATTGTTAAATACAATTGCTTAGGAAATTTGAATTTTGTTATTTCATACGAAATAAGTATTTGTTTTCTTGATGTAGGTATAATAAAATATATACTTAACGTTTGAGGCAACAAATCTGCTTTCATTTGTCTATGATTGTCTTCACCGAAATGAACCGCAACTGTGTCATATACATTTAACATTACAAACATTAAAACACCATAGAGATTATGTAAATAGCCTAGTAATTCATTTTATAGATTAGATCAAATAATAATCTATTTCCCAGTGAAAGCCTTATTAAAATCGGCTCAGCAATTTTTGATTTGTGAATAACAAGCAATTAGACATATAAAATCATTTTAGCGTGCACATAACTAAATAATTACAATATGCTATTTTAATAATACAAACTGATATTACTGACATTTTTTTAAATATACATTTAAATTTAAAATACGATATAGGATAGATTATAATTTACAGAACTACTATACTATATCTCGCGAGTCAATATGTTATATACCCTACTTATAAACTCACGCCTCTGGCTGAATTTGATTCTATAGTATCATGGAGTTTTATTTACTGAACTAGTGACTTTTTCTCGCTTCGCTCGGGTGCGTCCCGTATTGAAAAACTCCAATAGGATATCATCAAAAGCGACAAAAGCCACATAGAAACCAAGAAATATTTATTTATTAGTGGTAATATAAACATATATTGGTTTCTATGTGGCTTTTGTCGCTTTTAATGAGATCCTATTGGAGTTTTTAAATAGGGTAGGTACGTTTTAATTTTTTTTTAGCGGAACGCAATTTTTTTTTTCTAAAATAAAAGTAGCCTAAGTTACTCCTTATAACATCAGCTATCTGCCAGTGAAAGTCCCGTCATAATTAGTGCAGCCTTTTCGGAGATTAGCCGGACCAAACAGACACAAATTTTTCATATTGTGTTTTTCTTATTAGTACCATATATAATTTCATATATATTTAGTAAAAAGCTGTTATTTTGACATTACAAACAGGCACTTCAATTTTATTTATCTGTGTAGGTATAACTTATCAAGCAAAAATAAAAGTTTTTACTTAATGATATATTTTTAATATTATTTTCGATCACTATGTACTTAATCTCTATGGAAAAGCTCAATAAATAAAATATTAAATATGTAACTCGATAACATAACATTCCATGTAATCATGTCGTTTGGTAAATATAAACATATATTTTGCACAATGTTTTGTTTTATTTTAAACACTTTAGAATTCTTATAATAATTAATAAGTAGTAGAGATAATTTGAATATACTTATCACCTCCAGGTAAATTTCTAAGAAATCTATTGTTAACTGTAACGCCGGCGTCTCCGCATTCGTAGAGGGATTATATTTTTTCTATTTATGCAAGTGTTGGTGGTGAATATATAAATTAACTAGCGACTCACCTTCGCTCACTCAAGTCCGTCTCTAGATACATTTTAACGGTTAGTATGGAATAGATAGACTATATATAGCCTTCCTCAATAAGCGGGCTGTTTAATGTAAAAAGAATTTTTCAAACCGAATTAGTAGTTTCTGAGATTAGCGCATTCAAACAAAATAAACAAACAGACTCTGCCTCTTTATAATATTAATGTAGATTTTAATAATGATTAATGGTTTTAATGTTTGTGGTAGTAACGAGACACCTGCACAATGTCGTTCACGTCACATTTAAAAGAGAAGTAAGTGAAAATAAAACAAATATAACATTCTCGTTTCATTTATTATAAATACTAGCGGCTCACCCTCGCTTCCCTCGGGTTCGTCGCTAGGTACATTTTAAATAGATATAAATAGTTATTAGCCAGTGTTAGCCATATACATTTTAATTATTTTTTCGTTAATGTTTCCTTTTTTTTCTTTATTAAAATCTGTGGACCTTAAGGAACATACGAAAAAAAATGTTGCCGAATTGGTCCAGCCGTTCTTAAGTTATGCGCTTACCAACATTCATTTTTATTTATATAGGTAGATACATCATCGTTAACTATACAACAGTAGGTACAAAAGCTAGTATTCCTCCAATAAAGGCACAATATAAAACTCCGAGAACATCTGCCTCTGGTCCTCTTTCTCCAATTTCAACTGTAGCAGCAACAGACCATTTGAGCTACATCTTAAAACGACCTGAAAACAAGAAAAATGTAAACATGCATGTATCTTATAATATTAAATAAGCAATTGTTATATATATATATATATATATATATATATATATATATATATATATATATGTATATATATAAATTTATAAGCGATTCGGATCAAATTTTGTATTTAGATAAGGCTTCGCTCTTTAACTTTATCTATCTTTTGAGTTAAAAAAACGCAATTTTTCTGTACAATAAATTACTCAATAAATAAAAAACTAATTAATAATAATTATTAATAGAGCCTTTTCTATCTGCTGTCATAAAGGGCCATATCGTAAATTTTTTGGTACTGTACCAACGACAATTATTTATTTATTTATTTATTCAAACTTGAATTCCTGCATTCTTCCTACACAACATTAATTATAAACGTAAAAAAAATACATAAGTTCAATGTTTTTATTTTGATGCTTAAATTGAGTTAACAACTACTATATTAACACTAAGAAAATACGACAGTAACACTTTTTATTTGTAACTTTAAATTTGCCTCATATATTTTGCACTTTAAAAAAAGTGCGTGTGTGCAATACACACACGGCAGAAGTGAAACTTCAGAAAAGTAATCTACGAGGGAATGAGATGAATATAGAGTATCAGGACTTCAACAATTTTAAGTTTTTTTTACGAAGTTTAAAAGTTATAAAATATTTTATTTAACATGTATTACATAAAATATTATTCAGTTTTATTTTTCACTGTACTGTAATGTATTCTATCTCACTCTCTCGCTGGCTCAATTCTATATATTTATGTGTTTGTCCCTTTCTAGTGTCGCATTTCCGTTTCCGATTTTCAAATCAAAACGATTCTAAAGAACTTTCACTTCAAAAATTGAAATGATACAGTATGATAGTTGTTGAATATATTCAAATTCTGCTTTACAGTTAGTTTAGTCTGTGGTACATATTTTTAAATACTGTAATTACTAATTTTTATCTGTGAATATACATATATACATGTATTCTCTATAATTGTTGCCTTAACGAGTGTCGTATCTTTTACTAGCGACTTGACTACCAATACAAACTTTCATCCCCATATTCACTCCCTTAAGGGATGATTTCCAGGATAAACAGTATCCTATGTCCTTCCCAGGGTCTCAAACTATCTTCTTACTAAATTTCATCTAAATCGGTTCAGTAGATCCAGAGATTATCCCCTACAACGTCACAAACTCACAAAATTTACCGCTTTATAATATTAGTATAGATTTATCACCTTTTTATAAATACAGAAGTAATTAAGTAATCCTTATACAATTACATTTAAAATTAACAATAGTTTTACCTTTGAAGACACAGCAAGCGCTTTCATAATAAGCCTTATATGCGACAATTGGTACTTCAGAGTAACTGGTTTCTCACAACTGAAGCTTTGCACCATTTCAGATGACTTCGGCACATCTATACAAGATCTGTCCTGAAAAATTAAACATTTAATTAACTATCTATATTTTTAATTTCAATTAACTAATATTATTTATTAAAAAATATGCTGTCATTACAAATTAAACAATAATTCATATTATATGCCATGAACATCTTTTTTGGTCATTTTTTCTATGATAATTTATGCAATTGAATATTGTAAGCAAGTAATAGAAGCATCGATCAAAAAATTATTAGATACACAATCCCATGCAAAAGTTCTCTTGAAACTGTCACCAATTGAACCTTAAATGCAATGCTTTGTTGTTTTCACAAAAAAATTAAAAGTGCGCTTAAATGTTTAAATGAGCGCTCGTTCAATAAGGACAATTTTTGTCGCTTATTGTGTATCTAGTACCTTTTTGATCGATGAATAGAAGTAATGAAATATTACGATAAAAGAGTGAATGCTAATGGCCCGATTATTTCTTTGGCAATATAAATGAAAATTTAAACATTATAAATAAAACTATCCTTTCTCTCTCACTCCGATCTAATCTTTCGACAACTTGCTAAGTTCTCTCAGACATGCAGGTTTCCTCACGATGTTTTCCTACACCGTAAGACAAGTGGCAATCATGTTCGAAATGATTCCCACATGAACATGCCAGATATGCCAGACCTGGGATTTCAATCCGCTTCACTCGTTCACCAGCGAGCGCGTTACCACTGCACTACGTAGCCACTAATAAGCAATAATAATATAATATCAACCAAGTTACCTGCATTCCATATGTAACAATACTGACATGAGGATGATCAGGGGATAGGTTCAACTCAATTATATCGCAGGACCTTTCCAAATCTGCCAATAGTCCTAAAAAAGCGGATGCTTTGAGCACCAACTTGGCCACTTCCGATGCATCCTCATCCCTCAACTCTAGTACGGAGTCAGCTGTCTGCGTTGATATCTCACAGTCTGTCATTACATTGTTCACAGACTGCGGCTGTAAACTGAAGAATAATAGCAAACTAAATTAAAATAAATACCTATTCCTATTTTTTTTATTTTTGTTATCCCAAAACAGAAACTTACTTAAATAAATAATTAATATTTTAATCTTCTTTATGTTTATAATGATAGCAACTCTTATTTATGACTTTAGGATAAAATTAGAAAAATATATAATAATTATAATAACAGTTAAAATTAAACAAATAATAATAGTCCTGTCAAAATAGACATAAAAATGGTGATCAAATGACAAAAACTCCCACAGAGCTAAATTTTCGTAGAGATCTTGGGTACACCATTAGAAATAAAGTGTCAAAAGTCCCCATCGATCCCATATGTGCTAAGTTATACAAGGTCAAAGGTCCAACATTTTCGTTTTTTTTAGATTTTTCTCGAAAACGGTAAATTTTATCAAAAATATAGCTCAGACAAAAATTTTGATCATAAAATTATGTACAAAAATGGTCGTAATTCTTTTTTTTGGCATTTTTGGAGTTTGCTCCTTAAGAATTGATTTTAATATAGGGCCCCCCCGTATGGAAATTTTATGAGAAGTGAAATTAATACAAGTGATAACTCAAAAGCGTTAAGTTTTTCTGTGCAACGTACCTGAAAGGTGCGCACATGTTTTTAATTTTTTATATTATAATTAAATATAATTTATAAGATATATTGATTATATTATAATCTAGTATATGGGCGATCGAGTACGCTCGGAGTATTTGGCCAAAAATACTTTTTTTTTTAAATATAAAAATAAAAACATGAATAAATACGAAAAAATAACAAAAGTAAAAAGTTTGTATCCGACCGGGAATTGAAACCGGACACCTGTGATCGTCAATCTTGCGCCTTGGCCGCTTGACCACGATGCTCATGGCTCAATCATATTTGACGTGGCGAAAGAAAACCGCATGAGAACTCGAAAACACGCGTTTTCCCAGACAAGACTAACCTAGATCGAGTTTTCGCCCCCGAAAACCCACACATACCAAATTTCAGTGAAATCGTTAGAGCCGTTTCCGAGATCGACGGTATATATAGATGTACGAGAATTGCTCGTTTAAATATTAATCTATATACATTTATAATAAAATTCTGAGTCGAATCTGTATATTATTTTTCGGAAAATCACTACATATGCGCAGGTGTGACAGCCGATCTTAAGAAACATAATACATGGAAATGTTCGAGTTGCAAGGAAAAGTTAATAAAATTAAAAGATACCACAGAGGCTTCTATGAGTGGGTCGATTGGAAATGACATAAGTAATTCTATAACACTGAGACGCCATCAAACATCAGGCATGTCGCAGCGGTCTAGGGAGCCTGGTGAGTCTTTTGATCTACAAACTGAGATTTTAGAAGCTATTCGGAAGGATTTACCTGGTATTATTAAGGGTTTTATATCGTGTGAGTTTACAAACTTAAAAGAGAGCCTAAACGAGATCGAAAAATCAATAAAATTTATCTCGGCTCAATACGATGATGCCTTGAAGACCATATCATCGATTAAAGAAGAAGTAAGCGGCTTAAAGAAAGAGAATGCCTCACTGCGCAATAATTTGAAGGAGTTACAAGGTACTGTAAACTCACTAGAACACGACTTAAATAAGCATGAACAATGGGCACGATTACAGAACCTTGAAATTCTAGGAATTCCTGAAATTAGGAATGAGTGCTTACCAGAACTAGTACAAGAAATAGCTCTAAAGTCAGGCGTAAATATTAGTGACGGCGAGTTTGAATTCGTTCATCGTGTACAGCCAAGGAAATCATCAAGCGGGAAACCTCGCCCCATAGTAGTTCGTTTTAAGTCTCGACAAAAGAAAGACTCATTCTTATCGTCTGTGCGTAAGTGTAAGAACTCCACCAGTGACCTTGGAATACCCGGTCAGTCTAAATTTTTTTATGTTAATGAGCATTTAACACAACGCAATAAAAAACTACTTTTTTTATGCAAAGCAAGGGCCAAGGAATTCAATTATCTTTATGTATGGACAAAAAACTGTCGTATCTACGTGAGAAAGAACGAAACATCTCCTCATATACTTATTACAAGCACAAGCGACCTCCTAAAGATAGTATAAGTAAAAAATGTTACATTAATTACCTTTGTTTGTTTACAGTATTGATATTATATAAGTTACTTAATCAAAAACTAAATATTGTGTATGGCAAGCGGCTATCCATTATTGTAAGTTATAATTTTTATTCATATACACTATGCTTATTATTTTACACAAAACACTCAACATATATTACACATAACACATCTATATATATAAAAGAAAGTCGTGTTAGTTACTTCGCTTATAACTCAAGAACGGCTGAACCGATTTAGCTGAAAATTGGCAGGGAGGTAGTTTAGAGCCAGGAGAAGGACATAGGATACTTTTTATCCCGTTCGACCGCGTTCCAATTTTTATGATATTTTAATTTTTGGATTTCTCTTAGTCCGGAATAGGTAAGTATTAAAACATATAATTAAAATGTGAGAAAGAAAGATTTTTTCTTTTTATATCTATTTAAAACGTACCTAGCGACGAACCCGAGCGAAGCGAGGGTGAGCCGCTAGTTTAAACATAAAAATAGTTTACGGTTAATGAACAGCATTTTTATTTGTTATCATTGTCTGGTTTTTATTTATTTACAATGTTTTATTTATTTACTAAACGTAAATACAGTTTTTTCCAACCATGGAAAGTGTGGATCATAAAACGTTAACAGTATTATATCAAAACGCCAGGGGGCTACGTACAAAAACGCGCGAGTTTTACAATAATGTCATATGTTGTACTAGTGATATTATTACTATTACAGAATCTTGGCTTTGTGATGGTATTCTGGACTCTGAGCTTTGTCACTCAAGGTATGATGTGTTTCGCCATGATCGTGGCGATGACAGAAGAGGCGGAGGAATATTAATATTGTGTTCTAACGTGTTGAATGCGCGACATCGCCCTGAGTGGACTCAAGATGACCTTGAATGTCTATGGTTAACTATTGACCGCAAAACCAAATGTATGTATAACATCCACTTGGCAACTATTTATATACCCCCCGATGGAATGTTACCTTCGCGTATTAATATATTTACAGATATGTTAAAGAATGTCTTTTTTAGTAATCCGGGCGACGTGTTTATAATTCTTGGAGATTTTAATCTTCCATGCATACGCTGGACTTCTGAAGGGCCAGTTATATTAAAAAAGGGTACAACTGAAGTTCAGGACTGTGCCGTTAATTTATTAAATATAGCTAATTTTTTAGGTTTGAAACAATATAACTCAGAGCTGAACTCTAGCGGTAACACACTTGATCTTATTTTTTGTAATTTTGAGGTCGAGGTCACTAGGTCGTTAAATATTATGGTCGCGGAGGATGAATATCATCCCACTTTATCTATTGACATTACAGATGTAATAGTTCCCTTACTTAATCCTAAAGTAAAGTATAAATATTTATACAACATGGCGGATTATGAAATTATACGTGAAAATTTAAGATCTTTTGATTGGTCATTCGTATTAAGTATAGCATCATTAGATGAAGCTTTGGCAAAATTTTATGAAATTCTTTATGATTTAATCGATAAATATGTACCTAAAGTAGTTATACATGATAAAAATATATATCCTATATGGTACAACAGGTCTTTAATTCATATTATTAATGATAAACGTAAAGCACACGCTGACTGGAAAAAATATGGTAACATTATTGATTATGAAATATTTTCACTTTTAAGGAGACGTTTTAAAATCTTAGAAAATGAACTATTTCAAAAGTACATACAAAATACCGAAAATCTTATCAAAATTAATCCTAAACATTTAAATAATTATATTAAAGATAAACGTAAAATTAAATGCAATTACCCTAGCGCTTTGGTTTACCAAAATAATATTCATTGTAGTGAAGATGATATATGCAGAGCTTTTGCAAGTTACTTCGAAGTATGTTTCAGCTACCACTAAGTCAATATCCGTTGTGGAGCTTGGACTCTTCAGAATCATCAGAAATTACGTCGAGCTTAAGTGTTGATACTGAGATGGTGCTTAAATACCTTACCAGCTTAGACGTCAGTAAAGGTCCCGGTAGTGACAACATACCAGCTTTATTTGTCGTAAAGTGTGCTGATGCTCTCGCATAGCCGTTATGTCTTATCTATAATAGATCTTTTATGCAAGGTTATGTCCCAGCAATATGGAAAGAAGCACATATTATACCCATACACAAAAAAGGGCTGAAGACGAAAATCGAAAACTACAGACCTATTTCTATACTTAATACTTTTAGTAAATTACAAGAACGTATTGTATATAATTATATGTATCCACATATTTCAAAATTTATACCTCAAGAACAACATGGGTTCATGAAACGTCGTTCCACTCTTACTAATCTATCCGTTTTTACTGGTGATATTTTACGAAGCATGGGCGATCGCATCCAAGTGGATGTTATATACACGGATTTTGAGAAAGCCTTTGATCGTGTAGATCATATAATACTACTTCAAAAACTCTTAGCCCTTGGTATCAGCGGTGATCTTCATCGTTGGTTTGAATCATACATATCGAATAGATCTCAAGCTGTTGTAGTCGGTAGTGGTAAATCTAATCTTATTAGGGTCCCATCTGGCGTTCCTCAGGGATCATTACTAGGTCCGCTCTTGTATGCTCTTTATATATATGACATGGGTAGATGTATTAAACACTCTAAATTTCTTTTATATGCTGATGATGCGAAAATTTACAAAACTATAAACTCATCTGATGATTGCATTTTGCTTCAAAACGATTTAAATAGACTCTCACATTATCTTAAAGCAAATCGTATAACAGTAAACGTTGATAAATGTACTCACATCTCTTTTACGCGAAATAAAAATGTAATCAAAACAACATACAATATTAGTAACACATCAATAAAATCAGCAACTTCCATTAAAGACCTTGGCGTGACATTGGATAGTAAATTAACATTTTCTGAACATATAGACTTAATCAGAGACAAAGCATATCAAAATCTTGGGTTTGTTTTACGTGTCTCGAAACCTTTTTCAGACATTAATACTTTCAAAACGCTTTATTTTTACTATGTTCGAAGCGTATTAGAGTATTGCAGTCCCATCTGGAATCCTCAATACGTAACATACATTGAGACAATTGAAAAGATTCAGAGGAAATTTATACGCTATCTTAACTATCGTACTAAAGAACCTAAAACAGACTATATTGCATCTTGCTTACATTATAAAATGACCACTTTAGAAAGACGTAGAACTATGACCGACATGATGCTGTTGTATGACATTTGTAATGGAAACATAGATAATCCTTATCTTATTACAGAAACCTTGCAATTGTGTACCCCTCAAAGGCGCACAAGGCACACTAATTTATTTCATGTACCTTGTCATCGTTCTAACTACAGTAGAAACTCAGTAACTCATAGACTGCCTCAACAGTATAATAAATATTTCTGTAATGTTGATCCATTTAGTAATTCTAGAGGAAGATTTAAGAAAGCTATCATTAAAGAACTTAATAAATAACACACGCACATATGTGCGCACACACAACACACACGAACATAAACAAACACACACGAACACACACACACGCACACGCACCCGCAGCCGCACCACTAGTCATAAATAATGAATGGCCGTATCATCATTGTTAGTGTTCTTTCTATTATTATTATTTTTCTCATTTTTTCTTTTGCTCCTTATATAAATGCATGATTTTTTTTTGTTTTGCCTTTTCTTAAATAAATGTAAACTTATTCTACCTTTCTATATTGCCTAAATAATGTAAATCCGTAATTGGCTTATGTAAGGTTTTAGTTTTGTACTTTCAATTTTTTTTTGTATGTAGCTGTGGATTTTGTTTGAATAAATAAATAAATAAATAAATAAAATCTTATTGAAATAGTCATTATAATCTACACAGAGGCCTTATATTCTAAAATAATTTAACTGCCTCGGTGGTGTAGTGGCTAGCATGTACGGCTGCACACCCGGAGGTCCTGGGTTCGAGTCCCGGGTCGGGCCAAATTTAGTTATTGAGTCTTCCTGTATAGTAAGTCTCAGTAACAGCCCGGAGTTGGGAAGTTGGCGGTGTTTCACCCCCGTGCCTCGGAGAGCACGTAAAGCCGTCGGTCCTGCGCCTTAACTCTCACCGGTCGTGTCGAGTGGTCGTCCCACCGGAGTATGAGAGTGATAGGAATAGAGAGTGCACTTGTGTCTGCGCGTACACTTGAGCACTATAATATCTCCTGCGCAGTTGGCTAATCTCATTGAGATTGGCCGCCGTGGCCGGAATCGGCTAGGAGAACCTCATCATATTCTAAAAATCTTATTGAAATAAACATTATTATCGATACAGAGCCCGAATCTATAGTTTTTAGAATTTTTGTCTGTCTGTCTGTGGCTGCATCGGACGGTCATGGGACGGAAAAAACCACTGGAGGGATTTTGATGAAATTTGGTATGGTAATAGCTGGTAAGTAGGGACGGACCCGAGCGGAGCAAGGGTGAGTCGCTAGTTACTTATATTATAAATAAATTTATCTTTTTTGATTATGCCGCGGATTTATTTTGATTTTTGGTGCCCGATGTTTCGAATGCTTTACAGCATACATGGTTACGGGAGAAACTTTCCCGTGTCGAAGCATGTCAAATATTAGCGAAAATTTAAGAAAGTTTAATTATTTATATATAATATTCTAAAATATTAAACATTCAGTTTCTTGTAGGAGTAAACTCCAGTTATAAGTCTGAGCTAACCCAGATTTCTAAGGAACTTCGTTTCTTCTTTAAATATTTAAGTATATGAAGTATATACAAAATACTGTTGACCTTTTTGTGTGGATTCTAATCTAACATACCTTTATGCATATAAGTCTGTTTAGTCACAAAGATAAAGTAAAAACAATATATTTACACCAATAGTAATGGTGAACCCTCACTCCGGTAGTACATTTTGAGACTGGATTCTTCGCTAGCTCCAAATATATTGAGACATTCTGTCAGCACTGCTATACTTATCTATAAAACAAACATAATAATACATACTAATTTTCAAATTAAGCCCTAAATAATTGTTCAAATGTCCAATACTTGTTGTACTATAAAGAGTCGAGTTATTTTCTTGTGTTAGCGTTTATTCTATTTTATTATATAAATAAAATATATTTTCTTAACTTTATTAAAAATGTATATATAGGTGGGAAATTCAAAGCAGTTGAAACGCATGCCATTGCTCAGAACGAATATGACGTCAAAGTATTATCATAACAGAGTGATTAGCGAATTTGTTGCTACAAATTGAGTCATCATTTCTCTGTGTATATCATACTGTGACGTCACGCCAAGCGCGCGAAATGGCGGACGTTTAAAGTATCCATATCGGTATGATATTTAATTTTTTTTATAGAAATATAGTTTTTTAGAGCTGGATATTTATTTTACTATTATATAAAGATGTTAGCTATTGTATAAAAAGTTAAAGAAAACTCACACATGGGAAAATGCGTGAGTTTTTTTTATCGACATTTAAAAGAAATATTCTGTATTAAAAATAAATTATAATCATATAAGTTTAAAGATTCACAGTCACTGTTAAACAGATAACATAATTTAGGCCCATGTTTTACAATGCCAACTTTATTATGCAAAAAAACTTACTTTAAATAATACATCCACATCATCCTTCACATGGTACTCCGTGAAATTGTCGGCTGGGACGTAAGCTGATGCTTGCACACATTTACCTTCTTCAACCGTTAACTTTAGGCCTTCGGGCATTGCACAGAATATGGCACACTGTAAATTAAAATATTTATGATTTACTATGGGATTCTATTATACCAGTATATGTTCTTATTTCTACAACTACCTATAAATATTATATTTAAAAATGAAAGTCTTTCTTTGCAATGTATGCAATTATTTAGGTTGAACTTTGTACAGTTATTGTGTACATACCAGAGGTCCTAAGTACTATCACTAGACATGCAAACTAAAACAAACTAAGTTTTAAAAATGAGATGTATACAAGTTGACAAAAATAAGCCATAGGAAAACCTTGGTTGATGCAGCTAGTTACTAATATTTATTAAATAACAATAATAATTCAATACATATAATTAAATAATATATATTTTTTTATATTAAAACATTATATAGTGTACTAAGTGTTTTATATTATTATATATATTTTTATTACTCTCACCTCTTGGAATTGGATAGCCTTCAATAAACTGTATAAAGTTTTTCCAGAATCCATAGAAGCTGTAAAATAATACTGCGAGGTCCCCTCATCCATTTTGATCTTCTAAATCAAACATTGACATTATAAGCATTGAATATTGGTCTTGAGTGACTTCTCTATCCACAGTTTTACCTAACATATAAGCGATTCTGGCAATTAGTACATGCTTACAAGTAATTTGAATTTTCTTTTCAATAACTTGATGTTTAAATGCCCGACAAGGACAATAATTTATTTTTGGAAAAATTCTATAACATCTGTTATTTTCACCCTTCACTTCTACCAGTATTCGAGCTTTATTGGCAGTGTAATATGTCTCGAGAAAAGGGTATTTTTCTAAAATATCGAGAGCTCGTTGCAGTACGATACCGTAGACAGAATTTAGGTTAAGCAGGTCCTCGTCTGAAACTATGAAATTAGTAAGTTTAAATTCTACTTAATATTATATTAATTATAAGGAAAATTCAAAATTATTGTTATCATAAATTCTTACGTTGTTTGTTGCCTGTACTGTGTATCTTTTCTTCGATACAATTTAAAACTTCCTCTGCAATATATGGTATTTCAGACACACTGTTTTTACTCATTTAGCATAATATATTAGACTATATTTCTATTTAGTTATCGCTAGAAATACATGAAAGTTTAAAAAATAGTAAAATTTGAATTGGTAATATACTTAGTTTCTATTTAAATTTATTATACCTACTACTTTTAAAAATAAAACAAACTTTTATTTTTTATTTTATATATCTTTTTTGCTAAGCAAAAAAGAACCCTTTAAAATAATCTAAGCATTCACAAATAATAAATATGTTCATACTTTACATTATTATTTTTAATGGTCATTTGCCGCGTAAAATTTTTAGCTTTATTTGTCATTTGTCATCCATTATTAAGACCTATACACGCGACGACTTATCAACGGCCAACGCGGTGTAGATGCGAGCATGTCACGCATATATAGTATTGATTATTATTTGAATAATATTTTTTATATGCTTCTAAATGCTCAAATCAAAGCCCAGTTACTTGTTGCAACCATTTTTTTAAATAAAATTTAGTAATGATATATAATGCAGTAGATATATTTTTTATATTGCAAGTAAAACTTAACTGATAAACACTGAATATTTCATGTGTGACAGCCGACAGGTGACTGCCAGTCAGTTGTCACTTGTCACAACTTAGTACTTACCATGGATGACAAATAAAATAGATGAATTTGTTTCATACAAGCTCTTGGTGGATCTATCTATCCCTTTCATTTGCTTGGTAATTAGCATGCTATCTCTACATTTGGCGACAACGAGTGGGACAACAACTTATTTCTGTCGCAGTTACCTACGTCACTGCTGTGACGTCACTGCAACATTTTGTCATTTTTGAAATTTTCAAGTTTTAAGTTTTAACCGTTGTTATTACTCATCTCGGGGACTAGGATGTCAGGGATTGCCGTTTTTTATATTATTTTACACTTTAAATTTACATTTGATCAATTTTTAGATTAGTATTGATGAATGTGGATAAGTGTTGATTAAGTAGATCAGTGATATAGTTAAGATTTGTGCTTGGATACAAAATTTGTGATTTATTCATTAGTGTTTCTCTTCCTTTGTTTGTTTTTTTATTAATGTTGTGTAAACATGGGAAAGCATTGTAATATTCCAAATTGTCAGAGGAAAAGAAGGTTATTCATGCCATAGAATGCCTTATAAAGATGCACTTCTACTTTATAACGTATACTTATAGAAATTCTTATAAACAGTGTTTATTCCAGAGTAACTCTATCTGACCAGGGTTCTGCCAATGTAGCTGCAATAAATTCATTAATTTCTGATACTAAGGTAAATATACTTCGTTGTGTCAATAATGCATCAAGTGCTATCTTTATGAAGTTAATCGGAACAAAATCTATCGTAAGTATGATGTACCTCATTTACTTAAATGTTTCAGTTATAATTTTAAGAAAAAGAATTTGCTCCTTGGCAGTCAGCGTGCTCAATGGGATTATGTTCATATGTTGAATAAAGTAGATGACCATAAAGGTGCTGCAGGGCTAACAAAATTTACTGACAAGTATATTTATCCAAACTCTTTTGTTATGATGAAAGTAACTATATTGTTAAGTTTAATAAATTAAGGTATATATTACTTTACATCAGGTATATATATATATTTAAGGTATATATTATCTTATCTTTAACATAAAATTGTTTTTAAGAAAAAAACTTCTTGAAGTTATTGATATTATTATACTATTCTAATCCAGTAGTAGTCCATTAAAAACAATTTATCAACTCTATAGCCTATCTATTGTATTATGTTAAGGGCTTAATTGGCTTATCTACCTAGTCCCTAATAATAATAAATTTACTATATGTACATAAGCTACTATTCATCTATAATAGTTACTAGTAATTATACTATACTTATAAATTAATTGACTATTGCATTTGTTGTATTACATTAATTTATTATAATAATATATTTACAGGTCAAGTATATGCTGCTCAGGCGTTTAGTCGAAGTGTTTCAGCATATATAAGTCTCCTGATAAAGGCTTTTAGTTTCCAGGAAGAACACAATTATTGTAATACATTAAATGTAAATATTGAGAATGGCTTATTCACAACTGAGATTATTTTATTCATTAATAATAAAATACATGATCCTTCTAAGAATCTGTCATCTCTAGTATGGTATGCAATTTACATAATTGAAAGACAATTACCAAAGATTTGTAAAGTTTGCATATTTCCCAATTTAATAAAAGTATTTGAAAAACTTGATACCTCTTGGTACACTTGTGTAGATCATAAAGAAATATTTTAAAGAGCATTCTCATTATTTATTATATGTGTAAAGGTTAGACAATGGTGTATAAATTTTAATTGAAGAATGCATAAAGTGGATTCGAGAAAAAAGGGTCTGGAAATAGAAAATTTGCTTAATACAAAAGTTTCAAAATGGCCTATCTATGGTTGAACTCGTCTTCAGAGTAGTGAATGATTTTCCAATATTTTTTCATTATTTAGTTCATTAATTAACTTATTTATTACTATTGCTTGTTTCATTTCTTGGTTAATTAAAAGATAATCACTTAGAATTTTCCATTTTCATTATGTTTCTATTAAGTAAAAAAATAATATATGAATATTTCATTTGATTTCTGCGAAATAATATTATAATTTCTTAAAATATACTAATATAGCAGTGTATAATTTTAATATATTAATTATAATTGTTACATTTGATAGAACTATGTATTTAGAATTTTTATTTTAGAATATTTTTAGCTTTTATTTCTTTTCACACCAAATTTTTCTATTACTATGTACATTTTTATTTTAAATTTCTTAAGGTTTTAAGAAAATTAATTTTATTATTCATTTTTTACTGAAATTTGTATTTTTTTAAATTTGTATAAGTCTAAAATGTTTGTTCAAACGCGCTAATCTCGAATCTTTGCATTTTATAAACTAAAGATGAAAGGTGGTTTTAGAGCTAAAACTTCAAACAAACGCAAAAGCTAGATTTTAATTTATACCTACAATTAAAACTACTACTCGCTTAATATGAACACATTATTAACAAAAAGTATTGTTCTGTTACTTCTAATTTTATCGCATTATAATATGTATTATAATTTTTTTATATAAATATTTTCATTCACGGTTGTTAAAGAAATGAGAAATTTGTTTCGCAATCACAATTTTTTTGAGGTTGTTAATTTTTGTCTATACCAAATCGTTGTACTAATTTATATTTTTTTTTATTTTGTATTCAATTGATAAAATTCTTTAAAAATGTCCTTTTATTGTAATAACAAACAATGAATGTTTTAAAAAAAAGGTTATCCCGCTGAGGTCCGTCCTTGCTAGTTCTTCTCAGGTCTGAGGCATTTTTTCCGAACTAGTGGTAGCATTAAAATAGTAAAATAAAAAAACTAGAAACCTATCTTTGTATTTTATTTCTAATTATAATTAATATCATAAAAATGAAAACCTTACTATAAAACCGATAACAGTTGTTGAATACCGATAAGATTACGATAAAATACATCCCTACTTAATTGTAATCGTTGTGAATACCGATTTTTTACATCACTACGAACTAAATTCTCCCAGATTTGCATATGACGTCATACCCTTAGAAAGAGATGCGTGGCGACTCAAAAGAAATACAATAGCCGTGAAAGTGACAGCATATTTTGACTTGCCACTTATGCCTTAACTGTCCCCATATTAAGGCAAATATCATGACACAGCTCTAAAATATAAATCAATTTTTATAACATAAAAACTTATGTTAATAGATATTTTATGTTTGATATGAAATATAATTAAAATATAAAATATTCGATAATGGTTAAAATCATTTAGAATATTATTATATAAATCAATATATAGCACATATGATTTATAAAAAAAAACATTTTTAGCATATTTAACTTAAGTATATTTTATAATATAAGAAAATATTAAATAACATATCCCATGCAGCTATTTTTTAATTTGTAATGGTAAATAGGGAAAAATCTTTCTTTGACTATCTTGACCCCCCCGGCCCCCGCTTCTTCTTATTCGCCTGCGGTTTTATGAATATGCGCCTGTATGGAGCTCGGCCGGGGCTGGTACTTACAAACATTTACGAAACGTACGACTACGTAACTTTCACGTAACTTTCGTTTAAAAAACGCGTGTTCAAACTTTGATAGAAAGACGTTACATTATACTAATAATTTGATGATCTTCCTGTGTATATAATGAATAATAAATCCTTATTATTCGTAAAAAAAAGAAATTTTCGTATTTTGTGTTATTTTACGAAAGAACCTGGAAATATTAACTAAATATTGATAACTATTTTGCACAATACATGTCAGAGAATATATTAAAAAGTATGGATCATACAAGCAATAATATTATGTTTTATGAAATATGTAGACTATGTTTGGATGAACGAGGCTGTTGTGATATATTTGACAAAAATAATTTACGAGAAAATATTTATAAATGCATAGGTTTAAAAGTAATGTTTAAATTAATATACCTACTCATATAATTTAAGTTAAAAACATATGCTTAATTTATTTATACTTTTGTAGATCTCTTTATCGGATACCTTGCCCCAAAAAATATGTGAAAAGTGCCTAGACATTGTGAACAAAGCTCTAGAACTTCGAAAAATTGCCATTAAGAATGATAGACATTTAAAATCCTTGTTTTATATTGCAGATGATATATCAGATGTATGTATATATTTTAATTTTTATTATAAGTTAGATATAGAAAAGTAAAATAATTTCCATAATATTTATTATTATGTCCAATATATAAAATAACTGGTGATCTATCCTATATTATAAACAGGATGATTTTGTTTGTTTTAATCAATAAACTCTAAAAAGACTATGACAATTTTAGAATTTTTAGTAGGTGAGCACCTCATAATTAATTCTTAAATGTAAATAAATGCTTATGTCTTTCACTATCCATCACTTTGACTGTTTTTTAGCAGGCCTTCACTGGTATGCCGACTATAAAAGAACTATAAGTGCTATATGCATATTTTTTTTTATTTCTTTTATGTATTATCTATTTTAAAGATAGGATTAAAAAGCATATTGTATTAATTATTTAATACTTTCTTAGGTTTATGTGGATATTTGACATTTTAAATAAAACTATCTTTCCAGATTTTTTCATGAATTTGTTTTGATTTTTGGTTCCCAACGTTTCAAATTTAGTTTGTTATTCTTTGAAAAACAAAAAATAAAATTAAAATTATTATTCTTAATTAATTTTAACTTTTTCAAAAATGAGACATTGATCATTTAAATCTACTCCAATTTTATTATGATTGTTATCTAGTATACAGTCTGGTTTCATTCTTTTGATTACACCAACACCTTTGACTTTAGATTGCACCTCTGACCAGGTAGCAGTGTGTTTCGCTGTCAGCATGAGCACATCACGTTTGTCTCTCCACTTGCAGGCGGTAAGATTGCCCCGGTGATAAAATGTCATTTCATATCTGTCTAATGGTTGGTGACGCCAATCCTGAGGGAGACCACGACGATTCCCCATCACTGTGCCAACAAGACGAGTGTTCTTCAGCCAGAGCACGTCAGCCATTAGTGGGCTCGTAAAAAAGCGGTCTAAGTAAATGGTGTGCCATTTTCAAAAAAATGGTTTGCTCAATTCTGTAATAATAGCGTCAACAGATTTTGAATCCTCTACATAAGGGACTATTCTCAATATGTACCTAGTTGCAGCGTCGCAGAGCATATAGATTTTCATGCCATATTTATCTGACTTATCTTTATTATAGACTAGTAAGTGCCCCTAAACGCCCCCTAAACCTACAAGTACCCTCGTCTATTGTCAGGTTTTCATCGGGATAGAAACTATTTTCACATAACTGACAAAGTCTTCAAAATACGGCCGGATTTTGAAAAAGGCACCATATTCAGGATGATCACGAGGTTTATAACACGCATTGTCATTCAAATGTAGACAGCCGTAAATAGCCCTGAATCGGTTGGCGGTTCATCTGCCTACTGGCGAATGGAGTTTCAATCATTTCCCGCGTCGACCAATACGAGAAAATCTCTTTGTAGACGAGCGTCATATGAATTATGATGCAAAAGAAAATCTTCAATTCTTGGATTTCCACAGCTTTCTAATTATATAGCATAGCACTAGGTTTCAGTATGCCTTTTCTCAACTGTTTCGCTCTCAACTGTTTCGCTCTCATTTGTGACGCAAAGCGATTTGTTTCTGTATTGACCAGTAGCCAAAAAGAATGCGGGAAAATGAAAGAAAAACATCAAATTGTGTTGAATTTTCAGTCACCTCAGTCAAAACTCTGCATTGCTCTTGAAAAACTGTATTTTTACGCGGCTCTTGCATTGGATGGTATGATTATCCATTAGCTTCATCCATATCCCTGGTGGATTGTGAAGCGCGGATGGCGGTGGGACTGCGAGTAGATAAGCGCGTTGCCGGTCGACAACATTCACAGAGCGTTCTGGAATTTCTGATTAGTATATTTATAAGACCCTGCTCGGGCACCGCCTCCACTTCTGGATCAATGATATCTGGCTTATGGGTCTCAAGTCGATCATCAACCATCAACTGATACGACTTTTTTCAAGTCAAGAAATAATTCTGAAGAGATAAAAAAACAATATAAAACCATGCACGATAAAAAGAGGATTATACTGATATAATACATCAATTGAAATATTAATTTACCTTCAATTTGATGATGATGGAGCTTCTGCAACGTCTGAGTCGTCATCATCAAACAAATGGTTTAGAATTTCTGTCGAATCTACACGAAAATTAGGTACGTCGCGTAGAAGCCATTTCGCGACAAAAAGTGCGCTCTCGAGTCGCGTAGCTAGCACTGGCGCCGCGGACGACAAAATTCGTCCTCTCGTCTGCACCCTGCACCGCATGTCGATGAGTGATGCATGTGTGCGTAGCTAACGAAATCCGCCGTTAGAAACGCGCTGTAAACCTAAGGTTACACACCGATCACGTACTGAGTGCGTGATTTTTAAATAAGCGATATGAAAGTTGATCAAGTACTCAGTATGTGATCAGCATCACGTACCCAGTACATGTACTGGGTACGTGATGCCGCTCTTTCCTTCAATTTTCGATCGACTATTAAAGTCTTAATTGAAATAAAGTTTTTTTTTAATTTAAGGATCATGTACAGAAACCAGAACAAATAGTAAATAGTCCACATATTGATGGAAGTAAAGATTCTAGTCAAAAACATCCAGCTATTCAAACATTTATAAAAGTGAGAAAAGATCTATTTGAATCATCTTACGTATTACCACAGGTATTTATTAATGCTAATTTTGTTTTTACTCGATCAAATATATTATAATTTATAGAACTAGCTACTTAGTAGGCTTACGTTCGCTTCGCTCGTGAGCGTCACTAGGTAATTTTCGTTTTAATTTTTCTGAACGGAACCCTTATTCTTTTTATAAAATAAAAGTAGCCTTAGTTACTCTTTTAAGGAGTAACAAGGCTACGCACTGAAAAATAGCTGATGTTATAATACAGCATCTGCTATTTGTTAGTGTGTTAAAGATTAGCCGGAACAATCAGACAGACAAAAATTTTAAAAAATGTGTTTTTCTTATAGGTGCCATATATAATTTCATATGCATTTAGTAAAAAGCTGTAATTTTGACATTACACACAGACACTTCAATTTTATTTACCTGTATAAATACTGAATATTCCATATACATTGCTGTTATTTTATTTGAGAATTGTTAGTAATTAATTATTGATTACAATATGTGGAGGGTATTTCTTTGTGTATGGCTTCATGGCTTCCAAGCAGCTGTGATAAATATCATAAAATTTGATAGTGGTGGCATAAAAAGTATTTTATATTTTAGTCCAGGACATGGACTATCTATTTGCCATGTTTTATCCGAATTTGCGTAATTGTTTACACATAATTGAGTAGCAAATATACATATATCTTATCAATGGGATTGATGTTGCCAGGATGAATCGGACGAAGAAATTTCACAAGTGGATAATTCTCAAAAAGAAAAATCTGAAGTAGGAAGCTCGCAGGATGTGCAAGTGAAATTATTGATTCAAGAAAAGACACAGTACAAATGTGATGTATGAAATATTATGATTTTCTATTTTTGATATTAACCAACTTATATACACGACTCACCCGCGCTTCGCTCGGGTTCGTCTCTAGCTTGCTCCCCAATACAAACTTTTATCCCCATTTTCAACCTCTTTAAGGTATGATTTCCGGGATAAAAAGTATCCTTTGTCCTTCTCAGGGTCTCAAACTATCTTACCAAATTTCATGTAAATCGGTTCTGTAGATCCAGAGATTACCCTCTACAACCTTACAAACTCACAAACTTTACCTCTTTATAATATTAGTATAGATATAACAACAATGTTATACGTGTTATTTTAATAGAAACTTACGTAAACTTCGATTATCTACTACTTCGGTGGTGTAGTGCTAGCATATACCTACGTGCATACGTACGCGTACATCGTGGTCAAGTGGGCAAGGCGCAAGTTTGACAAACACAGGTGTCTGGGTTCGTATCCCGGTCGGATACAAAGTGTTTACTTTTGTTTTTTTTTTGTATTTATTCAAATTTTTAGTTTGTTGTTTTTAATGTTTTTTTGGCCAAAAACTCCGAGCGAAGCTCGGTAGCCCAGGTAGGTACTGTTAATTAAAGTTGGTAACACAAAAAAAACGTTTATTTATATCAATTTATTATCTGTATTATTATAAAATAAATTTGTATTCTGTTATAAATTCCTACAAATAAAAAAATAACATTACTTATCCCTCAAATATGTGATTTATACTGCATATATTAATTTCATTAAAATCTATTTCAGGAATGTAAAAAAGTGTTTGACAGAAGAAAAAAGCTGTATCTACACTCTCGTCTCCACAACAAAAACCTTCCTTGCCCTACACGAGAGTGTAAGAAAAAGTTTGCAACTAAAGGAGATTTGGAAAAACATATACGGACTCACACCGGGGAAAAACCGTACAAATGTGATATATGTGACAAGGGTTTTGCTCAACGAGGGAGTTTAAAGGCTCATAAGGAAAGTGTGCATGCAAATGATAATGGCAGTGTTATGTCTTAGTACATATATTTGTATAATAGAACTGCCTCGGTGGTGTAGTGGCTAGCTTATACGGCTGCACGCCCGGAGGTCCTGTGTTCCAATCCCGGGTTGGGCCAAGTTAAGTTCTTGAGTCTTTCTGTATAGTAAGCCTAAGTAGCATCCCAGAGTTGGGACGTTTACGGTGTTTTACACCCGTGCCTTTGCTCTCACGTGTCGCGTCGGCCCTGCGCCTTAACTCTCACCGGTCGTGCCTCGCGTCGTTTCACCGGAATATAATAATAATAATACTTTATACAATGTGAACAATTTCGAGATACATCAGCGTAGGTACTTGTTTAATTTACTAAAAACATCTACCGTCATTGTGTCATTTTTAAGTTATGATTGAAGTTAGACCACTAAAGCTATGACTTTAAGCATTAAGAAAAAATATGTATATTGTTTAATTATTTTACGTAAGAATTTTGTTAAAACTTTTTCTATAGATTTATTTTTAAAGATATATTTTGAACCAATTTTAAATTATTTGTAGATGTTCATTTATGCATGTAAATAGGTATAATTTATATCATTTATAGTGGTTTATTTGGAAATATTTAGGTATATTTTACATTATTTATAGTTGCATATGTATAAATATTTAGGTATATTTTTATTATTTGTAGTTTTCTGTATTTAGGCACCTATATATTATATCTTTATAGTTGTTTATTTGTAAAAATTTAGGTATGTACTCGTATATGTAATTTAGCAAACTAGTTTAAATTCGTCTCTTTGTTTTAAATTTTGTTAACAATCATTTAGACCTCAAATCCTGGCGAAAGAAAACCGATATCGCCCTAGAATGATTCGAGAAGCCATAGAAATTAAAAAACATCCTAATTTCAATAGGGAAGATGGCTGGGTACAACCATCGTCATGGGATCCTGTTATTAATATAATAAAATCTAATAATAAATCTAAACATAACAGACAGGTAGATGTAGTAAGTTCTTACTGTGTAGATCAAAATGATAGCATTTCTGATTAATAATATTTTTTCACTTTTTCATTTGTAAATGTATGTAGTAATGTGTTGCTTAATAATTTGTTTTTTAAATATGTAATAGCAAATTTAAATTAAAATTATTATTTTTAATTAATCTTAACTTTTTCAAATTACACATAGATCAATTGTGGCTTAAATAATTAATATATTATGATTTTTTCTTTATGGTTATAAATATAATAATGGCAACACTAAAAATGTAGATTAATAATTAATATTTTTTAAAATTGTAATAATTATAATAATAACAGCTCAAATTAAATAAATAATATTCTATATTCAATTATAAAGCTAATTAAAATTATATAAAAATATTTAAAGTTAAAAGTTAAAATATTGTAAGGTACTTTAGTGCCATTTTTCAATTTTTTGAATTCATTTTGTTAATTGTGGGTAGGCTGTCTGTAACAACTATATAATACCTTAGAGACATCTAACACCTCAGTCTCTCCCATGATCATGATTGCTGTAAAGCATTCGAAACGTCGGGAAACAAAAATGCAAATAAATCCGAGACAAAATCCGAAAAGATAGTTTTATTTAAAATCATTTATTATTTTTGATTATTATGATCAAGGTCATTATTAAGATATATGAAATTTTTACTATTTTGTAGGGATTTTTAAAGACTAGATAATATAACAGAAAAAAAACACTTATTTTATTATTTCAATTAATTTCTCAGTTTCTTCGTAATTTTTATTTTGTAACCAGGCTACAAAGATCTTCTTACATTGATATTAATTTTTTGAATAGATATTTAAAATTTCATTGATTTTATTGTATAGCATAGGACCCAGAAAGCACTGACATTTATTAACAAAAACAGTATTGAACTTGGTCGTAGCACAAACCCTGTTTTGACGTCTACTTGCATTGTTATAATTATATGGTGATTTCTCATGTCGAGATAGTATTAAATTAACAATGAATAATTGTCGAACTGTTAACACGCCACATTCTGCGTATAAATTAGATGTAGGATATCTATAAGGTTTAAATTTTATCACTTTTAGCAGGGACCTCTGAGCTCTCTCAAGTTTTATCATATACGTTTTCCGTGCTCCACCCCATGACGTAATGCAGTAATTTAGGATGGACTGGGAAAGTGCAAGATAGATAGTCTTGAGCAAATCAGGATCAGCAGTTTGTCTTAATTTCTTAAATATGTATATAAGTTTTCTTGCTTCTTCTATAAGATGGCTAATATGAGGGCGCCAAGATAATTTTTCATCTAAAAGTACTCCTAGATAATTTATAGTTTGGGTTCTTTTTAAAGTATCACATTCGCAATGGATCTTTCTTTCAGTTTCGTAAAGACAAGAATTGGTGTGAATTTGCATATTGAAACTTGATGGTAAACTACGTTCTGAGTTAGTAAAAAGTAAATATTTTGTTTTAACTGTATTAAGTGTCAATAAATTATCATTAAGCCAATTAAAAATGAATGATGTTAAATCCATTTTTTGCATGCATTTTCGCGATCTCCCAATTTTCTTCAAGAAAAACAAGAGCAGTATCATCTGCAAATGTAAATATTTTGCAATAAATGGAATAGAGAGTGCATTTGTGTCTGTACTATAATATCTCCTGCGTAGTTGGCTAGTCTCAATGAGATTGGCCGCCGTGGTCGGAATCGGTCAGGAGGACATTATTATTATAATTGTATATCATTCTGGATGAATAAACTTACCGGAAAATCACAGGACTAACTTTGAGCAATGAAATCGTTACCTAATGCAAAAAACAATATTGTTATTCAGTATTATATATACTACTAGCATTGCTCGCGGCTCCGCCCGCGTTCAGATGACCAAAAACCAAACTCTTAGGTTTAACATATTAGTATACTCTTACAATCCAGTTTTTGTAATTTTTCTCAGAAATGAGATATTTTCCCGCGGTAAAAAGTATCCTATATGTTGACCCGGATAACCAGCTATCACGATATCAAATTTTATCAAAATCCCTCCAGTAGTTTTTCTGTGATGCGGTAACAGACAGACAGACAGACAAAAATTCTAAAAACTATAGATTCGGCCTCTGTATCGATAATAATGTCTATTTCAATAAGATTTTCCAAAAAATATTTAATGTACAGATTCAGCTTAGTTATAATTTTATTATATGTTAGATATAATATACTAAGCCTAATAAATAAATAAATAAATACTAATATTATAAATGCGTATGTGTATGTTTGTATCTCCTTTAAGCTGAAACGACTGAACGGATTTAGATGAAATTCAGTACACAAATAGACTATGATATGGACTAATGTAGGTATGTCTAAAGATAGTGTTGGCTGTATACAAAACTAGCGGCTCACCCTCGCTTCGCTGGAGTTCGTCTCTAGGTACGTTTTTAATGGTTAGTATGAAATACAAATCTTTGAATTTCTCGGCTTTTCTGTATTATAATATGCATGTATTATACATATAAATATTCCTCCTAATCGCTCTAACTGTTGCTGTTTTAATATTATATAAAATACTCATAAAATGGTTCTGCGGTAACAGTTATATTATTATATATATTTTTTATTATTTCTGGACTATCATTTGTTTTAACTATTTTAAAATTTTATTTACATTTTCAACGACAGGATAATAAGATCTACTCGTCAGTGGCGACAACTGGCGCCAACAACCAGTAATTCATCATTACTTTGATCATAGAGACAGCCCATTCGCGTTAAGAAAATAGTGAGTCATAAGTGCAACTGTAAGGTAAAGGTTTATTCATAGCGGAGTAAAAATTCAATTCAAATATATTTTAAAAGATTAAATTTCATTTAATGGATACAAATCAACTTAATTATCTCAAATCAGTATAGTTATTAATAATACATTTAATCAGTATCACTAGATTCTTCGTTTGTATTTATTATAAAAATTTAAAGTACTTAAAAACATTGTAAATTACACGTCTTTAATCTATCGAATTATCGATCCACATTTATTCTTAATTTTTTTTTATTATTTTTGGTAACTCACTAAGGACACAACTTGCCTGAAAGCCTGCCGTCAACGGTCAACTGGTCATTGTAAACTTGACTTTATAATTTGACGAGCAATCTCAGGTATACATCCTGAGAAACTTGACTTTATAATTTTATGCAATCTAATTGGTCGGGGGGCGTGGCTAACACAACGTGGCGTGGACAACGATGTCGATGACTCACTATTTTCTTAACGCGAATGAACTATAGACAAAGAGATAGTGGCATACTTTATGTAGTCAAGATTCTCCGCAATGATTATTTATTTAATACTTTCTCGTATTGCACGCGAACATTTGGCTTTTTAAATGAACCTCTATTTTTTTTATTTTGTCCTGGCGTTGTTTGTTTTAATTATTTTGCTCTCGATATGATCTCGTGACAAAATCCGAAATGATAGGTTGGTTTAAAAATATTTTTAATTTGTTTTTTTTTTATAAAGTTTTTGTTTCTTTTTTGAGATAGGTAATAGTTTTCTCTTTAGGTAATAATGTTTTAAAAAGAGTTTAGTTATCTTATTAGCTTCAGCGTTATTTTTAACGATTCTTATTGTTAGTAACGTGATGTTACCAGCATTGTTTAGCTTTAATTTATTTTATTTATTTATTATTTTTAAGCGGATTTCCTTACTTTGTTATTTTAAGGATGAGATTGCTATTTTACTTTGAGGAACTCTTGTAACTTATACATTTATAAATTAGAGAAATAAAATTATTTTACAACATTTAAAAAATTTATTTGGATCCTCGTAAGTTTTATATTTAAATGAAACTGTGTTATATATCAGGCAGGTGGTGGTCCAGTGGTTACGCGCTCGCTTGGGAAACCAAGTGAAGCAGGGTCTCGCCCCTCTGATATTTTCATGTGCAACATAATTTCATAAAAGTATTCCGACGAATTGAGAACCTCCTCCTTTTTGGAAGTCTGTTAAAAATGATTAGCACTTGCTTATACATTGAAGGAGCAGCTACCAAGTTTTCGAAAGACATGCCCAGTGCCTACTGCAAAGAACGTGCGTTCACCTTGTCGCGGTCGGGGCTCAGTAGTGCCCGGCAATACAGCCGGGCGCGAAGCCAAGAAACGCACAGGGAGGTTGCCCACTTCGGTGGGAGGTGGCCCTCTTCGGAGGGCGGTGTACCATGCAGGTTGCTCCTAGTACTTCTCTGATAGCAGAGTGGACCTTGGAGCAACCCCGTGGTTGTTGTGGTCTGCTTCAGCAGACCTGCCGTCGGGGCGTCGTAGTTGAATGCGTAAGCGACCCTGCGACGCCCCATTAAGACGGGAGAAGGTTTTGTTGGGTTTTAGTGGGTAGTACTGGCTTCGCCGGTGAGTCCCACACTTCGTGCGTAAATGCATTTCCCAACGTTAAAAAAAAATGCCCACTGCTCAGTCCGCCTGCGCTTCGCCCGCGTGGCGGACTATGACCTGATCCCCCTCGTATTGAAGGGAGGCCCGAGCCCAGCAGTGGGACGTTAAAAAAAGTGCTGAATAATGTGTTATTTATACGAGGCTAATAAATCTTTAGAGCTTCCCTTAGAAAAGCATTGCTCCATACTTTAAATTATATTTTGTTAGTATATAATATTATGAATTTCAATAAAAGAATCACCGCTTCGTCTAGGCTATTTAAAATGTTTTATGTACATATGTTCAATTCATGTTTCATGTAACGTGACTTGTGATAAATAAATAAGTTGATACATTAACACACAGCACCATCTAGTTCCATGGTAGGCTACGAGGCTTGTGTTATGGATACCAGATAGTTGATACACTACACATATATAACTTTAAATACATACATATTATAAATATACACACCCATGACTGGAGTACATACATTCGTGCTTGTCACACATAAATAGAATGGAATACTTGAATGAAATTTTAATAGAGAAAAAAAACCGTTACTTTCTTAGATTTACGCGAATATCTGACATTTTAAATAAAACTATCTTTTCGGATGTTTTCGCGGATTCATATTTATTTTTGATTCCCGACGTTTCGAATGCTTTACAGCAATCATGGTCAAGATAGTTTTATTCAAAAACTAGTATTGTTTAACTTACAGAGCTTTTTCTATTGTTTTTCTTGTCTTTACTAAACAAGAAAATAAAAATAAACTATTTGTCATAAAATAATTTATTTCTGGATTAAATACATTAAATATTTACAATTTTACTTACAATATCCAATTAGTTTTCTAATTTCACAATAAACAATATTGCTATAAACTGGAAATATGTTCTATTCTAACATAATGGAAGATAATATTATGCCCTTTGTTAAGTTAGTACCTACTTTATTATTATTTACGGTTCAATATAAATATCTAAATAAATGAAAATGAATGTATGTTTGTCTATTTGTTTGTAATGTATCGCATCCTAAACTATTCTTTCGACTGGAATGAAACTGGTGAGATGTTGTGCTAGGGATAGTTTTTCAAATAGTGCTGTCAATGTATGACTGATTTGATTTTTTATTACATAGTATGATCAGTAATATCTAATTTATATTTGTAGTTATTAAATATCCAATTCTAGAATTTATTAATTCAATACTTTGTATGGCGTCATCTAGATGAACTTTATGAGAATTATTGTGATGATATTGCACATTCATCACAATTTAACTGCTTCAAAGCATGCCAGTTGAGCTCATATCACTTCGCCAATGTCACGTGGAACAGAGAATTACATTACTGCGCTAATGTCACGCCGAATGGAGTATTATTACTTTATAAAATATTAGATTTTTTATTATTCTAGCACAGATAATATAATACCATGGACATTTTTTTTACATGTCTATTCATAAAAGATCATGTATTTTGTCATATATTTACTGAATAGAACACAACAATATTAAACTAGTATTTTTGTTAATTGACAAATGTCATTTCAGTGTTGCCATAAAAATAACAAAAAATAACAAAATATTAAAAGTCATGTTATACTCTTAACAAATCATGTAATTACCTCAAGTTCATAAAGTGAGCAATTGAAAACGGCCAATAGACAATATATTAAAAAATAGTTAAACAAAATTTAGAAAAAATAATTAAATCTAATATTATAAATTAAGCTACAGAACCATACCTACGCATGTCACTATCAAAGCCTCCCGACAATTTCCATACAAAAACTATTTCAATCGAAATGATATGTATGGGTTATTACAACGTTTTTCTCATGGGAATGAGATCTTACCAAGGAAATAACTATTTATGTCATGCTCCAACAACTATCTCCATATAACAATCATATCAAACCGTCGTCGCTCTCTTTTAGCGTGACAAATAGCGCTGGATCTACACTATGGGCACTCGGAGCTAGTGCCGGCCAAATTTCAATCGCGGCAAAATTCGAAGAATAAATAAAAAAACTTCGCGTTATGGAATATGTTTTTTTTTTATTTTCCAAACAATGAATAATTAAAAAAAATATAACTATTTTTAGCGTTTATCAAAAATTAAAAAATAAAGAACTTTAAGCATAATTTCGATAATGGGGCGGCATTTCTTACATTGCCCATGGGCGGCGCTAAGGTTGAATCCGGCACTGGATTGACAAACGAACAAACATACAGAAACTTTCAACTTTATAATATTCAGTATCAATGTAGTATGTTTAATTTTTCATTGCATATAACAGTTTATGGGCAGATAAATCACATTTGTGTCTTTCACCCCAGTATTATACATATAATTTCTATGGGTATTTAGTAGTAAAAAGTGTAATTTGGACTGAAGTAAAGAAAGAGCTCATCCTTAGTCTTATAATATTTATAAATTTTCCATTCAATCCTGTTTCAATAACTCACTTTTAACGGCTTGAATCCTTTATTATTATTAAGAGTTTGTGTAACATTGAATATATACCTTTAAAATATTTATATTAGATAAAAAATAAAAATCTACGCACACTGTCGATTTATCGGCCGATAGTGATAACAATTTTGCATAATTCATTGTATGTTAAACAAAAGTCATAACTAACAATATAAAATGAAACATATCCATACATATTTATTTCTTAAAATCATAGACAGACAGTTTTTTTTTATTTACACGTGAATAGAGAATATGCGTGTGATTCAAATAAAGGTGAAATATATATTTTTTATAATCTTTATTGCTTTTGAATTAAGCCTATATCAATATTTTTAATGTAATTTCTTTTTGATTAAGAAAATAATTATTAAAAAGTGCAAATATAGGTGGGAATCAGACCGAATATGACGTCAAAGTATTATCTTAATAAGGCGATTAGCGATTTTGTCGCCACAAATTAATACTAATTTCTATATGTATATCATACTGTAACGTCACGCCAAGCGCGGGAAATGGTGGGCATTTAAACTATTCGTATCGGAATGATATTTAAAAACAGTTTTTATACTTGAATATTTTTCTTACAATTATATAACGATGTGTGAATAACGAATAATTAATGTAAATAACGATGAATATGAACGATAACGATGAATAGAATAACGAATGTGAATAACGATGTTAGCTATTGTATATTTTTTTTTTAAATCACGCATATTCCCTATTGTGGAAATATTTAAAACAATAAACAAACACATAAAGTAGATAACTCACCAAAGTGCAGACGCACTAACTTAATGGAATGCATACATAAGAAGTAGGAAAGTGCATATAGCGACGACTAAACCAATAATGAGTGAATCGCGTCGTTTGCGAGCGTTTATCCTGTAGATGAGGCTGTTCAGCATTGGGAATCTGGAATATAATTTATACATAATATTATATGTATAAATATTGTTGGCGTGTGTTCGTAAATCTTCTCCTTCTAAGCAGCTTGACCGATTTTGATGAAATTTTCTGCGTACTACCTATATAGTAGGACTAGATAGTCTGTTGGTGCTGCCGGTTTGATTAAATTTTAATATTTTTGGAGTCCTCTAAGTGATATAAAAATTTCACTATACAGCGGGATACAAACCCGAGCTTCTTGGATTTGACAAGGCTCACTAAGAAAATACATATCTGAAGTAATAAAAATCTAGTCTAAGTACATTTCCAACTTTTGAAAATAAAAGATTCATGTTATAGCTTGGGTTATCCATTCTATGTTCCTTTAAAATAAAAATTAACACGTCGTGAACAAGAAATACACACGAACACACACATACAGAGTAATGTAATGTAAAGTGGACTCGTTTTCCGTACTTAGACTCTCTTTTGGTCCGTTGTGCGTGCAAAACACATACAGAGTACATATTATAGAGTATTATACCTATTAGTAATGTCATTAAATCTGGTCTGCATCCGTTTGAACACCTGTCGCTGAGACGTGAGATGCTCTCGCGCATCCATCGCTATGTTTATTTGTTCGTCTACCAATATGTGGGAGCTGAAATACAAAAAAAAAATGATGTAATAACAAATATATAAAATTAAGTAAAATATTCAAATCAATCTTTTTGATACTCCAGAGCTTGGTATGGGTCTCACTTCCATGCAAAGGGATGATGGAAATTGACCATGTTGGCAAGGTGTGAAGTGCAAGATGATATTAAAAAAGGGCTAAATTAATCTAATAATAAATCTTATCAAGTGCAGTAAATTGGCAATTAACCTCATTTTAATGATTTTGTTAGGTCAACTTAATTTTTTTTTATTCACAATAGGTACATATATTAACCTTTTATTTTATTAATCTTTTATTTTAAGCATCTTTTAATTAAAACAGGATGTTTGGAAAAACGGATCTTTCAACACTAGGAAAAAGTACACATTTAAATAAATATGTTGGGACATTAACACACAGCACCATCTACTTCCATGTTAAGCTATGAGGCTTGTGTTATGGATACCAGATAGATACACTACACACATATATAACTTTAAATTACATACATATTATAAATATAAACACCCATGACTGGAGTACAAACATACATATACACACAAATGAATACCTCCAGGGGGAACACAGCAAGTAGGCTCACTACAAACTGAGCCAAATGTGTCAACATACAAGTTAAAAAAAAAAAAAAAATTGATATTTACCTATGCAAATGGTTAGCTTCCTTTGTATACTGATCACGTCGACTCAACCCCGCTGAGGCAGAGGGTGGGGGACTAACACCTCGTAATAACTCCTCACGCTCACGTCTGGCGAGCACTCGGGCAGATGTCTTTTGGAATTCTTGCTGATAGTCCTTAAATTGAGTAACATTATCTCAAAAACTGGACAAGTGTGAGTTACCTATTTGATATGTTTGTGTTACATAATTAAGAAAAAAAATTAAACCAAATTCAGGATTTGCACTTGCAATTCCTGACAAATTAGGTCATGCTTTTGTTTAATGAAAATCTGTTAAACAACAAAGTAATAATTTTTTTTATTTAAATTTATAGGTTACTATTATTATCGAGATGCAAAAACTTAATATACATAAGCTTAAAATAAAGAAAAAACATAAATATTTTAAAACAAATGAGTATTTCAAAATAATAACAAATTTTTGTTTTAGAACTTGCGACTCACCCTCTCTCCGCTCGGGTTTGTCCATAGTAGTTAGCGTTTAGTATAGATTTTTCAGAGATAAGATATTTTCCCGCAGTGAAAAGTATCCTATATGACCTGGATAACTAACTATCATCATACCAAATTTCATCAAAATCGGTCCAGTGTTTTTCTTGTGATGCATTCCCAGACAGACAGACAAAAATTCTAAAAACTATTTTATTATTATTATTAAATAATATCATAAAGTTTACCATAAGTATTTCTCTATGCCTCTTAATAGTATGCAATGTGGCTGTTCCACTTGGAGCTAGATCTGCCATTTTGTCATTAATAGAAGATAACTGCAATGACAATAAATAATAATCATTTACAAATTTCCAATATAAAGTTTAAATATAAAAAAATAATACAATACATAATTTATATAAAACTGGGTTTTTATGCAGTGAATGCAAATAAATGTAGTACAGGATATAGGTATTAAGTTTGGACTTACACTTAAATCTATTGAGCCTTTACAGTGTTCAAAATTAAAAAACTGTGCCACTCTTAAAAACATATATAACAATAGTCATTCTATTTAATTTAATTATTATAGTCAATCTTTAAAATATAGTAGATTTGAAAGTGATTAATACTAATGTTTGATTTCACAGTTAAAAGACTACACTTATATATGTACATTTAATTTATTTCAAATTATTTATTAACTAGAATCAGCCATGTGGTGATGTGGCACATATGAAAATTGTTAATTTTGTATAAAAGGAAATAATCGGGATAAAAATTATACTATCTTTTAAGTTGGAACAAATCACACATTTTGGAAAAAAATATGTTAAAATCTGATAAGTAGTTTCAGAGTTCATTGTGGGCCAACATCATGACATGGGAATTTTATATATTAAGGAGATTTAAAGTAGTCATATTAAATATTGTATTATATTATAATAATATAAATTTAAATATATAGAAAAATAAAACAGAGGAAAGATACATATTTTATAAACAAAATTGATTTTAAAATTTCAACTTTAAAATTAGTAGTCAAATTCAACCATAATATTTCTTTTATTGATAACATTTATTTTTTTAAATCAATTAATTAAATTTACTATACATGTCCATTATTTAAAAAAGAAAATATAAAATACCTTATTCAAGAGCTGCTGTAGCTCCATAGACATTGTATCAAACATATCCTCACTGTTAATCAATGGTGCACTCTCAGAATTGAGTCCAGAAGTTCCTGTACTGACTCCTAGCTTGCTGAAAGCTACTAATTTCACATCTATGTCATTTTCTAGTACTCGAGCTTGCTTTCGAACATCTGAAACAAGAATATTTCTTGATTATCATAGCTTTGAACTAGTGTCATTTTAAGTATATATTGTGAAATGTTTTCAATATAATATATTGAAATTTAAATTACATATATATATTTTACATATATTATAATCGACTGAATTTAATGTGATAAAAATACGATGTACAATAAAGATTAAATACAACAAAGTGAAATCGAAATTCGAGTTAAAAGTGACTTGTATGTGGCGTAAACCTTTTTTTTTGGTATTATTTTAGTAAATTCCAGATAATTATTTATATAGGTGCATTTATTACTAATTCTATTATTTTTTATTGATTTTGAAGGGCAATATGCAACGTCACAAACTATGTTTACTAATCTTTAAGGGATGGCCGGTGCAAAAGAACAATATAGATTACCTTCCCACGTCGAACCTGCCATTGTTGCTACAATTGTGCCACTTTACTTATAGTTTATTTTGCAAGTAAACGAATAAATATAAGTTTTGTTTACACTTATTGTGTGTGATATATTAATGGTCTAAGAAATAAAAAATGCGAAATCACAGTTCACAAGTGTTGTCAATTTTATTTGTCAATTGTCAATTGTCATCCATGTATTGGCATTGACATTTGACAACGGTATTTTGTTCTCTCTTTTTGTTTTCAAATGTTCATGGAAATCTAGCTGTACTTTAATCGATAAAAAAATAGAAGGTACCTATATTTTTTTTATTTATGTACAATGTCCATTTTCCACGCAAAACATTTTGCAAAGTAATTTGTATTTTATGATTACAAAAAAGTGTAAATGTTAAAAAAAACCTTTGACTTATAATTACCAATGTCAAATATAAATTCGGATATTTCAGTATTTTAAACAATTTGAACACACATTATTATGTAATGATAACATACATAACTTTAATAATGTGGAAAGCTCTTTGCTATCCTTTTCACAATAATTCCTATCTCAATTAAAAAATCAAAATTATAATAATTACTAGTGGCTCACCTTCGCTTTGCTCGGGTTCGCCACTAGGAAAACAAAGACAAACCTATCCCAAGCGAACCGTACATTTTTCCGGGATAAAAGTTGTTAAGTGCTAAGTTTCATCCAGATCCGTTTAGCCATTCTGGCGTGAAAGAGTAACAACCATCCATACTCACAAACTTTCACAGTTATTATATAAATATGAATACTGAACTTAATTCGTAATAGTTTGTAATAATTAAATGGTAAATTAAATCTAGATGACAAAAATTTTTACGAAATATGTTTTATTACGGCAAATTTCATAACAAATAATAAGGAGAAAATTAGGTACCAAGAATTAAGTAAAATAAAACAAAAAAGTCGAGAACAGAGTCGTTCGACATCCGGAAGGAACGAATTACGAAATTCCTTTCGCTGTCTGCCTTATGAATTAGATCTTAAAAATTATCACGCATACTAGACTCTTACAACATACATTCCTTGACACTTTAAATGATCACCTAATATTTATAATTACGTCACATGGGCTGTTCTTAGTAAATAGTAAAAAGAGTCGGGACGGTCGAAATATTACACTTTTTTCATCTACGTGTAGTATTCTGAATATACCGTGCGATACGGAACTTAGTTCTATATGACCAAAATTACATAGGCTGTATGCCAAAAGCTGTCTTTTACCTTTAATATGAGAATTAAAAGCAAAAGGTAGTCCTAAGATAAGCCGACATGCTTTTTATAAAATAAACATTAATTAATTATTTAATTTATATTTGCAATGAACGGTAATGCCGATTCTTTGGGCGAAAAATGCGCCGGCTCTCCTGTCGCCAGTAGAGGCGATGAGACAAGGAAGTGCTTAGCACTTTGAGTCCATGGGTCAAGGGTTTCTACAGCAACCCCCCCAACGTGCGTTCACCTTGTCGTGGTGGGGGGGCTCAGTAGTGCCCGGCAATCCAACCGGGCGCGAAGCTAAGAAACGCACAGGGAGGTTGCCCACTTCGGTGGGCGGTGGGAGGTGGCCCTCTTCGGGGGGCGGTGTACCTTGCGGGTTGCTCCTGGTACTTCTCTGATAGCAGAGTGGACCTTGGAGCAACCCCATGGTTGTGGTGGTCTGCTTCGTCAGACCTGCCGTCGGGGCGTCGTAGTTGAATGCGTAAGCGATCCTGCGACGCCCCATTAAGACGGGGGAAGGTTTTGTTGGGTTTTAGTGGGTAGTACTGGCTGTATTACGCCGGTGAGTCCCACACGTCGTGCGTAAATGCATTTCCCAACGTTAAAAAAAAAAGGGTTTCTACAGCAAATGGAATAAAAATATAATTTTGTCTAAGGGAGGCGTATTTACGTACCTAACTTATGTAGTTCAGCCATCTCCGCCGCGGCTCCTACTTTTCCGTCTCCCTGACATGGGACGGGGCCAATGTGTCAACGCATGTACCTAGCGTCTACATATGATTTGAATTTTTCTAACATATCTGCTCGTATATTCTATAATATTGCTTCAAAATTACAACTGGTGCTTGTATTGCATCAAATCTGTATCAGTCCTATTCAGTATTGTAAGTTATCAGTTTTTTTTGCAAAATCTTTACAATGTTTACAAAGCCCGCATGACTTTCGTTCGACTTACAACATAAATAGAGCTCAGCTCAGTATAGTTAATTTTGTTGCAACAAAACATCACAAAAAATTTCGTAAGTATGGACCTATTTCAATAAGCTAAACTATCACACTTAAATAGGGATCTAAATATTTTAACATGTTACTGCGTATTTAAAAACTCTATTCAAATTATATTTTTTTATATATTAAGTAGGTAGGTAGGTATAGTTAATTTATTGCTAATCATGTATATAACTACTACTACTACTACGTACTCGCATTATAATTATTTATAATAAGAAAGTCTATCTGTAAATATCGTAGTTCCCGAAACATTGTTAACTACTAGAACCCCGCGCTTTTTGACATGCAACACTCGTTAAACACCGAGCCCGCGCGTCATTTTTCCCCGATACAACCATTACATAAAAAATCACTCCTAATTCAAATTATATTGCACCCATTTAAAATGTTTTTGCTGTTTTGGGTTTTTAAATAAGCTGAGCATTTATGACCATATGTAAAATACACTTTTAACTATTGATGAATTATAAATAAGCTAACAATACATGAGTGTTAGGTGAATATTTATTTGTTGTTGAATTATATTTATTTCTAATAATACCACGGTCTACACTTACACTAAGTAAGTTAATATTAAGTTATATATTCATTTATATTGTATTTTTATTTTTGGTGTAATAAAGGATTAATAAATAAAATAAATAAATAAATTTGAAACACCATTTTATGAATAAGCATGTAATCGCACAAAACTATTCTCCGATTTATTTATATTAGTTGTTAGTTACAACCAAATTCAAAACTTTATAGCACTCGCGGCTCGTTCGTTGTATTTGCGCAGCTCATCGCGCAAGTTTCAAAACAAACATCCGAGTTATAATATGTGGATTCTTAATAAAAATAATACTAAAATACAGAATATTCCTTCCTTAAAAAACATGCACCAATAAATCTTGAATATAAGCCACTGTAATTAAAATTAGGATGGATTTCTTATAAGAAAGAAAAAATTGAGGTTATTTTTTACAGACGCTCGTGTTGCATTGTAATTAACGTTTCTGTATATAAATTTAGCTTTAATTATAAAAGAACAAACTAAGCATTATCACATATAAGAAAACTTAGCACTTTTCATTTTAAAAACTAAACATTTAAATGTGAAGTTGACTAAAATAATTTACTAATAATATTTAGATGCGTAGTGATGCACCCATGTACGGTGTACCCCGCAACACTAAAAACTATCGATTATTTTTGTGAACGGCTAAACACACATAAACACAATTATAATTTTTATATTTGTTTATAACAATAAAAAAGTAAGTATTTAAAAAATCAAAATAGGTGCAATAAAATAATATAATTTTTGGACAAATTAGATTCAAAATCATTAAATAAAGTGCCATTTTTATAAAAATATTACATAAATAGATTTATTATCGTAAAAAATCTAAAACATACGAGAGTTCAAGTTTTGGCACACAAGTTAGCTAGCTCTCGTAGCATGAAAAAATAAATTTATGTATTTTAATACATTATGCTATATATTACGAAAAAAATAACTTAATATATTGTTTAATCATCTACAATACTCTTTTCATGAGTAGTATAACTTAATTTGTATTTTATTGTATTTCTGTGACAAATAGAGACAATTTTTGTATGTAACAAATGCCCGTAGCTAAAAATATACCATATCTCAAAAACTACTTACATAATATCTTCTTCAAATAATAATAAACGTTAAAAGTATATAAAAAGAGAAATATATATCGCAATTTAAATATTTATACCGTTTATATGGTGTTATTTTTCACTAGTTTCATGTAGTTTTATATACCCCTATCTTATTATTTTTCACCTCACCCTCGCTTTGCTCAGGCGTGGAATAGGTATAACTTGTTTTCCCGTAGAAACGAGATAATGTGCCATGATAAAAAGTAGCCTATTTCACTCTCCAGCAATCTTACTATGTTGACACAAAAACCACGACAAATAGCATTTTATTTCGACGTGAAAGAAGGACAAATAAACAAACAAATAAATTCAACGTCAAATTGTATATCGTGGAAAGAGAGAGTGTCAAATATACAAATGCATTCAAGTAGTTTACATTAATTTTAATGTTGCGTTCATTATTGTAATTTAATAGTAAGGAAAAAGAAAAATGTGATTTTTAAGTTTCTCCGTGATTTTTTTCTTATTTTTCTCTTTAGAAGAACTTTCCCCAACGAATATTTGAAAAAAAATATTAAGCTAATTAGTACAGCCGTTATAGAGTTTTGAGCTTAGCAACGTTTTGCCATACATTTTCATTATATAGATATAGACGAGCGTCTTTGTATTCTTATTATAGTGTCGTATATTATATTTGACTTTGTATTTAGGCTCTTACACATATCTACCATATTTTATAAAACATATGAGTATTTTTTTTTGAATTTTATTCTCCACTGAGTCTAACAAAAAGTAAAAAAACAATCTTACCTTTTCAACATATATTTATATTAAATTATCGATAATACCGATAGCACATATCGACATGTGTCAATATCTAACTGGTCTCTGATGAGAGTCCAAATATGTCAAATTTGACAGCTCATAGGTATTATTTGTAAATAAACATAATTTATATTATAAAAGTATTGAAATATGCTACAAACAACTGAAAATATGCAATTATATTAGTTTTTCTTTAGTGATCTACCTTTATCGTGCACCAAATCAGAGAGTAATAGTCAAAATTCATGTTATAAAATGGCGACTTATTTTACGTAATTTTTACATCAAAATTTGTTGGACCAAAAAACTAATTTTATAAC